CCCTTCCAAGTCTATTTAAAGTCAAGCAGAGCAACTGAAGTCATGGGCCGCTGTTTAGAAACGGTGATTTCATTGGAACCGAAATAAAAGAGATTAAAAATATATCTTTGTGTGAACTGCACTGTTCTGTGTAGCTGTGACAGTATGAACACACTGGTATAACAGTGTCTGGGATGTGACGGTAAATTGATAAACCCCCCAGAATCATCATATTTCCGTTAAATCATGATACAGACAAAAATCAGCAATACAAATAGAAATTGTTTAGTTTTCATAAATGCATGAAAATACTAAATTTGAGTCATTTGCACGAGTAAACTGTATCTACAGAGATCTACAGCAAACAGTTCACAGCCACAACATTCACTCTACAGACAAATGACTCTGCAGTACTCACAGGTATTTTTCGGCTCTAGCTCCAATTGGCTCCGAGTGGCAGTGATGGAAATACGAAACCCAGGTAGACGCATAATTTTAGCCCCTTTGCCGGCCTGTGGCAATGATGGGACGCCATACAATGTTGTCCGTCTCAGTCTGAGCAGCTCTTAAACATGGTTCAAGTTGTTGGCAGAGAGTCTGAAGGAAAGACTGAATAGGTAGGAGAAATAAAAAAGAAGTAACCACTGTAACATTTTCACTGGCCCTCATGCTGCTTTCTACAGGATACTAACCTGTTTTTTGGCCTGTCCGTGATGTCGAATGTGACACACCAAAAACACAAACAAACAGATAAGCATACTTATCTACTGCTGGCATGGTCATTTTGGTGGGAAAAGGTTTGAGGTCAATATTTTGAGGAAGTTACTCATTCCTTTGAGATAGGCCTATTAACTAATTAATTTGATATATTAACTTATTATTTCAAGAAAGTTTCACATGAGAATGACTTACAGCATCTTTTTTTTCATCACCTTGGTGGTAGTTGTTTTCTATACATATCAGAAAGACCCGTGTCAGCCAAATAAGAAAGTGCACTGATAAACTGAGAGTAGCTGTGTTTACTCTTCACTACATTCCTGTCTGTTGTCACACAGCACACAAGAAATGTATCTCTCCTGGCGATGGACTGCTCATCATGATAGGGTGTAAAGGAAGCTGTGGCGCTCCTGAGTGATGTGTCTAAATGTCTGCACAGCCTTGTTAACCCTTTACTTCTGCTTTATTGGGCAGGAGGGGCTGCAGCGGGGCTCTCACTGGGATCCTGGAGTGCGTCAGATTGTCTGCGAGCCTGTGTTTGGATAAGGCAGCATGCCCATTGTCTCTGATGCCCCAGCTGGGCCGTGGTATGCCTCCATGCTCCTGAAATAGAAAGACAGCTGAGGGCTGCCATGCATACTGAGGGCAGGGCTGGCCGGGCAGGCCGGGCCCACTGACCCAGACCACAACTTAGTACAATGAGAGACGGGGTATTGTCTGGAGCCAGAGGCTAATAGCTGAGGTATCAAACCCCCAAACGGTCTGCTAAAAGACTGATTAACTCTGCCGTGTGTTACTGCTGCGTGTGTATGGGTGGATGTCAGGGGGGTGGAGTGGGTGTGGAAGAGTAATTGGGGCTTTAGAGTGTGTTTGTGCCACGCGTCAGCCCGTCTCCACTCTGATGAACCGACGGCTAAGACCTGAGCCCACACAGTTGCTGCAAGGTATTGTGGGCAGGCACGAGGCGATTACAGAAATATCCACCCTCGATGAATGCTTTGATCCAAAATGAAACACTGCTCCACCGCCCATTTTTAGGTTACTGCTATAGAGCAAGATAGGGATCTTAATATGTGTGCTCTCCAGCTGGCAAGCAAGCAAACTTGTATACAGTAAGTTTTACAGAAGGAGACGGAAGAAAATGAGCTTATAAAACAGACGAACGAGATGATATATAAAATCAAGGACAAAGCGCACAAAGCTCAGTACCGTACGTACTATATTATACAGTACGTACTGTGCTCTACAGTTACAGTAACATTTCTTAAGTCGTTTTGCAGTGAAAAAAATCTGCACTGATTTTATCAGAGTTTGTGTGAGGCTCAATTAACCACAAACTAATTTGATAACCGATTAATCAGTTTGAGTATTTTTTTTAGAAAAAATAATGAATTGCTCCTGGTTTCTTCACTCCTCTATGACAGTTAACTGAATATCTTTGGGTTGTGGACAAAGCTAGACATTTGAGGACGTCTTCCTGGGCTTTGGGAAACAATGCTTGACATTTCTACTGTTTTCTTACATTTAATACACATTAGACCAAATAACTAATCGATTAATTGAGAAAGTAATTGACAGATTAATCAACAATGACAATATTATTATTTGCAGCTCTAATACACAGAGATAGACAAATGCAAGTGCATCTTTTCAGAAATTGAATGTTATGTATAATGAAATTAATGTTTATTATAATAGTAATAATAATGATGATAAACCTTAATTCTCACCTTTGTGACAAGACATGCACCTCATTTTTGGAAACTCATAAATTTGAATGACTTGAAAATTGTATAGAAACTATGTACTGCTGTAATTCTTTTCTGCTATGGCTGGTAATATACACACATTTCTGACAAATTGTAAATGTGTATGTTAATGTAGTAAATTCAATTTAAAAAAAAAAAGCAAAAATAAATGCATCTCAAACTGCTTTAAATTTAGAGTGATCAATTGACAAGTCAAAAGAAATCAGACAATACACAGTGATCATTACATTTAAATCATTACATTTCTTTAAAAAAAAAATTACAGTAGGATTTGAATTTTAAAAGCCGTGCGATTATTTTAGTGTAGTAACATTTTGTGTTGCCTCTGATGAACAGTTCCACCTGTGCAGGAGTCGAACATGGGGAGAGAGGTGACTGTGTCGAGTGCGATTAAACACTGCTGAGAATGACTGCAGTCATAATTCCCGATCTCTCCCCATCCCGCTGCCTAAGCCTGCTGGCATTCGGTGCATGATGATTTAAAACAACTGTGACAGACCCCCAGATCAAGTCTTGATGCCCAAAATGTCGGCTCCTTACTTGCACATCACCAAACTGTCGGGCAGCCAGTCCAGCAGAATGAAGCGAGGACCTGGTCCCGGCATGTTGGGGCTGAGGCCTACAGCTGGATGTCGGTTTGGTCATTTTATACGGGGAAGACATCCAAAGCTGCACAAATGTGTAATAATGAAAACATGAGCATCAATGGGCCTCACCACATTAGGATCTAAATGATTTTGAGGAACACTGGGGATGTAAGGAGAGCTGTGGTTCGGAGAAGTCAGCTGTTGCAGTGGGCTGCAGTATAGCAGTGCAGAGAGATGTGCTGGGGGACGACGCAAACGCTGCTGCATGCACTTCACTATGTGTTTGTGTGTGTGTGTTTACGTGCCGAAGTATGTGGACTTATTTAAAGACGGCAGCTCCGGGGACTTTGGGATTCATCTCCTCCTCATGTGTTATCAGCATGCCAGCTTTTGAAATGGTGCAGCAAGTGACATAGTACATAAACCAGCCTCTGCCTCTCTGAAGAGCCCCTTGTCCCAGAATAGCTCAGGCCCGCTCTATCTAACTGATGCCCAAGAAAGTTTGAGCCATCACGGAAACACCTCTCAGTCTGCCACGGCAACAGATAACAGCGTCAACAAAGATGGCCGCCCCTCAAGTCAAGACGTTTAGTGGTTTGTTTTCTTGTTTTTCTCTGTGTGTGTTTGAGTGTGTTGAGAGAAAACAGAGCAAACCCTCTCTGTCGTACTAAAGACTGCCTGTCGCCTCTCCTGGTTTGTAAAAGTTACAGTGTCTCCGTTGGCAGCAGACCGTCTTCAGCTTATCTACGTGGCTTTTGCAGAATTTGACGCAGCCAACAGTTAACAGTCAATCTCCCTATCAGGAATGCTGGACTCTGGCTTTGTCTATTCTGAGAAACTGTGGTCCCCTTTCCCTCCCCCCGTGCTGCACTGTCACCCTGCTCTCATACCAGGCACCAACCTCTCCCCTTGCTCTGAAGGTCAGATCTGGTGGAACCAGAGTGTAAGAGGCACTCTGCTAATGCCAGAAATACTGGATACACAAAATTACCGCAGCAACAATATAAAACACTGTGCCACCAGCGGATAGTTAGCAAGATACTTCTTATTTCCATCTGACGCCCATAGTGCTTCAGCTCTACATATCACTGGCTGCAGCTTCATCGAAACATTCTTATACACTAAAATTAAATTTAAAGTCTTTGATCACATATCTTGAATTAATCGTCACTCATGTTCTTTGCTTTTAAATTCACATGAGGCACTTCATTGTGTATTAGGAGCCACGCGCCATGTTTCTCTCTATTAATAAAATGTTGTGTATTTATAGTAGCATGTTTAATGCCACACAGCTCCTGAAATAATCTCTTCTAAGGTTGCATCCTCTGTGGCCACACACAATAGCAAACATCCCTGTTGGCACTTTGGGCTATTACTTAGAGGCCAACGTGAGTTCATAAGCATCGCAGTCACCTGATGTGGGAAGAGTTAATTTGTGTTTATCAGGAGGTTGAAGGTGGATAAAAACAGTAAGCAAATTCTGGGTGTGCACTTAAAACTAATGACTGTCACTTTAATTTTATTTTAATATTCTCTGCATTTTAATTCAGTGTTTTTTTTTCTGAGAATATTCCATTTATTTTCCAGTTTTTGTTTCTGTGTGTGGACACAAATCACAGTCCTGGTAGACACAATGATGCACTGCCCTTCAAAATCTACAGAGTGAAAAAATTCCCCCCTACAGGGATGCTCCAAATGCAACCCTGTCCCACTCCCCTCGCAGTGTGTACAGTGCATAAAATAACTGGGATACAAAAATAGCCGGCTTGGGTTTAGCGCAATGACAAAAACGTAGCTTTCCTTTTGTGTCAATTGAGACAGGCGCTCAGCACCAATAGGCGCCGGAGGAGGTGGCATATGCTAATGAGTGACAAATGTCCACTGACCGTGACCTTGAGAAACACAGTATAAAGGAGGGCACATCTCACCAGGCTGTTATTTCGTTGTGGTCGTCCTGAGGTCAGTGGACAACTTTTTGCCTTTGGTTTGGTAGGTTGATCACATTTTACGCGCGGGCTGGCTGCCCTTTAAAGCTCCTGTAGAGTATTAATTTGATTTACAGCAGTATGGTTATACTGTTGACTTTTGCTGGCACGTGTCAGTTAACGCGTTGTAGGTTTCTGTATTGTTCTCACTTTGTGATAGAGGATCTGCGCTCTTTACGCACAAGCAGCGCTTTCATGGAGGGGTGAAGTTAAAACAAAGAAACAGCTGTAACACATAAAGAACTACTGACCCTAACGCAAAGCTTTGTTTTCTTACCAAAGGAATTCCTCATATCACTGGTGCGTCCGCTTTTGGGGACCGGCGAGGAGCTGCCACCATGTCGCGCTATGACATGAAGGACTTCGGGGAGGCTGCACCGTTTTTACGCAAAACGGACCTGGAGCTGATGGCGGTGCAGACTGTCGCTTTTGACGGTAGGCCTGATGAGGAGAGTTCAAAGAAGCGGAAACTTAGAGGATAAAACACATCTACAATATATGCATGTTAGAAATTAATTCAGTTTTTGATTCAATGTGAAAGTCGTGTTTGTATTTAAATAAGGCAAACATGCGGCTGATGGTGTGAGATATCTGTTTGTCATCGCAGGTGTATTTGTTGCAGAGTTTTTAAAGAAACAGTCTGGAAACATGGCAAAATATATATAAACAACATTACTTTATTAAACAAATGAAATAATTTCACCCAGCTGTTTTGTAGAAGTAAAATGTTATAACTTTTCCCTATTTTATTTTTAACATTATTTGAAAACTGCTATATAAATAAAGTTTTTAAATAATTTCTCCAATAACACACTTGCGGATGAATATTTATGCCACAGGCTAATTTGTGTGATATTTAAATTTGATGTGTCTGCCAATATTTGCATAATGAAGAGTTTTGCTGTGTCCCCACATCATCCCACTCAGTGCACCCTCTGTGCTGTGCTCTTAGGTAAGAAGCGAGCCTGGATCCCTGATGATAAAGAGGCGTACATTGAGATTGAGATCAAGGAGATCAGCGGTGACAAAGTCATTGTTGACACCAAAGATGGGAGGGTAAGTGGTCATCCCTCTGCATGCAGCAATGAATGAAAACCTGAACCATTACACCTCATCTCCAGCAGTACAGAAAAATCCCATGTTCCCTTCTCATGACTGCCTGCGTCCATCCCTTTAGACCCTGACAGTGAAGGAATGTGACATCCAGCAGATGAACCCTCCTAAGTATGACATGATCGAAGACATGGCCATGCTGACACACCTCAACGAGGCTTCTGTGCTGTTCAACCTGCGCAAACGCTACTCCGCCTGGATGATCTATGTGAGTCTCCCTTTATGGACTGATGGTACTTCCTCTCTCCCATGTTTCCATGTTCCCTGAAGAGGCATGATTACCCAGATTAAATTACAGAGTTCAACTGAAGGCTTGAGCAATGTCAACCTGTCAGCAGCAGAACTGGTAATTTTGCCTTCAGGTGATGCATCACAGTGGGTTATGTCCTTTTTTCCTCAGACCTACTCCGGGCTCTTCTGTGTGACGGTAAATCCATACAAATGGCTGCCCGTCTACACAGCCCCTGTGGTCTCTGCCTACAAAGGCAAACGCCGCACTGAGGTTCCGCCGCACATCTACTCCATCGCAGACAGTGCATATAATGACATGCTGCGCAGTGAGTGTACACTAAAATATAACCACACACAGTGCACATTAGCACATTCATACACCGAATATAAACTCTCTGAATATAAAGTGTGCAAAGTATTCAGTGTAAAAAGACGCTTGTCTCTTTAAGTTTGGTGAAATTAAATTTTTTTAAGGCAACCCAGACACACAACTATTTTAAGTTAAAACAAATAAAAGTAATTTTGTCATGATTCAAAAGAAATAAACTTTTCTAGTCATATAAACTTAATCTTAATTCAGTTGTACTTAAATCCTGAGTTTAAGTACAACTGAATTAAGATTGCTTTTTAATTATTCTGAAATTGCTAATCAAGTTCAACTTAAAAAAAGACTTTTTTATGTTAAAACATCTAGTTTCTTTCAATGGTGCATACTCATCAGTCAAATGTATGTTCTCTTCTTCAGATCGGGAGAACCAGTCCATGCTCATCACGTAAGTATCATCTGATTTAAACTGATATGTTTTATTGTCTTGTCACAAATTAGAGAACAAACAGACAGATTGTAACTGTATAAGCAGCCATATAACATGTAGACCGTCCACACACAACCACTTTAAAGATGTGATATTTTTTTCCTCCACAGTTTTTGGCTTTACTGAAATCTGTTATTCACTTTTTTTCTTTTTTGTAACAAGCAGTGTAATTATATAAATTTACAAAACCATTACCAGTTTCGTGACCACCAGTTTTTACCTGTTGTATGTATACTTTGTTATTTTTTCACACTCCTATAGCGGAGAATCCGGTGCTGGCAAAACTGTCAACACGAAACGTGTCATTCAGTATTTTGCCATTGTGGCAGCCATTGGGGAAACAACTGCCAAAAAAGGAGTAAGGCTGATGTGGCAACAATTTTGTTTCCCAGCTTTTTTTGCTGTATTTTATTTTTATTTTCTTCATGTTTTTTTTTTTTTTTGGTCCCAGGAATCCTTCAGTGTTTCCCCTTTAAACCTTGTCCATACATTTTCCTCACTGTCGAAATGGTGATTGTGAGAACTGATTACATTCATGTCTGAGTCTTTACCCTCATGTGTTGTGTAGCCCTCTCCAGCCACTTTACTCTTTCTTATTGGTTTTTAATTGTTTTTCTTTTTCCCTTTCCATGTCATTTTTTCCTTGTTTTTTTATTGTTCAAAATTTTCCATTATCTTTCCCTTTGCTTTAAGTTTTGCTTTTGACTTTTCTGTGTTTCATTTTTCCTTTTTCTCCCCTGCGTTCACCACACTTCATCATATAAAACAAGGTGGCCATTGGTTTTTTTTACCACAGCTTTAACAACCACTATCTAATTTTCCAGCTGGTTATGATGTTTTCCTTTGCTTGTGAAAGCATTTTTCAATCATGCTTTATATGACAGGAAACTCATTCTTTTTTATTTATTTATTCTTTTGCAGCAAGGTCCTGCCACCAGAACAGGGGTAGGTTTAAGCTGCAGAAAAAAATATAATGCACCCACATTATGTTAAACAGCTAATAGAAGCAGACTGGAAATTGGTTTAAAAAAAAACAAAAAACAACTTTTAATCCTCTCTCCCAGGGGACTCTTGAGGATCAGATCATTGAGGCGAACCCTGCCATGGAGGCGTTTGGTAACGCCAAAACGCTGAGAAATGACAACTCATCCCGTTTTGTGAGTACCTGGAAAATCCCCTGTATATAGTCACACATCAGGGCTTTTCAGGCCAAGGACCCCTTAACTGATCTAAAATTAGAAACACTTATATCCACTGATGAATTTAAGGGCATCATAAAGAATGTGGTGACAGAGACATGTGTGTGTTTTTCTTGAGAGGCCACTATACTCGAATAGTTGTTGTTTTATTTAATTTCATTTTTTGTATTACATGTTGTATTTGTTGCATTTATGTGTTCTGATCGGCTGCTGCCTGAGATTTTCAATCTCAGTGGAACTTCTGGTTAAATAAAGGTTAAATGAATGGAATAAATAAGAGACAGCAGGGACTGCCCTACATATATTGTATAAAATTGAGCTGCATATTAAACTGGGCCTACAATATATGTCATGGTTTAATGTTAAATAATCAGTGCCGTGTGCTGTAAATTATTTTTTAATCAATAGATTCATCTTTGCTAATGATATGTTGGATTCATGTTAATGTGTATTTGAAGACATGTTTAAATTTTTGAAGAAAAAAAAACAAAACAGCAACTTCAATTTAAACATAAATTATCAAACAATAATTTGGCAGTAACTCTGAGCCCATGTTGAGGTATTTTTTATTTTCTTTATCAATGTCTGGAGCATTTAAGATATATATCCTCCGCAGGGCAAGTTCATCAGGATCCACTTCGGACCTACTGGCAAACTGGCCTCAGCTGATATTGATATATGTGAGTTAATTGTCAAACATGCATCCATCATCATCATCATGTGTTTCTCTTCTTGTTCCATGCCTAATATGAACATGTCTCTCTCATTTCTGCCCTTCAGATCTTCTGGAAAAATCCAGAGTGATATTTCAGCAGCCTGGTGAGAGGAGCTACCACATCTACTACCAGATCATGTCGCAGAAGAAACCAGAACTGTTAGGTCAGTCATTCTGGCTGCTTTGGATATTTTAATACGTACTTTTGCAGGACTGCTACGTGATCCTGTAAACTCTGTGTTCCAGACATGCTGCTGGTGTCCTCCAACCCTTACGACTACCACTTCTGCTCCCAGGGCGTGACCACCGTGGAGAACTTGGATGACGGACAGGAGCTGATGGCCACTGACGTAAGAGCTTTTATTTTGTCCACATGGAGGGAAATCCAGCTGCATTTTAATAGAGCGCATTGATTTAGATTAGACATAGGTTTGTGAGGTTGTGAGAGGATTTATCTTGGGCTTTTTTACAGCACGCCATGGACATCCTTGGCTTCCTGGCCGACGAGAAGTATGGCTGCTATAAAATAGTTGGAGCCATCATGCACTTCGGCAACATGAAATTCAAGCAAAAGCAGCGCGAGGAGCAGGCGGAGGCTGACGGCACTGAAAGTAAGAACCAATAACGACGTTTGGCATGGAATCTGATTTTAAAGCAAATTTATGATTTTTTTTTTTTTTTGTCCTATTTGGTCACCAGGTGCGGACAAGGCCTCATACCTGATGGGCGTCAGTTCAGCTGATCTCATCAAGGGCCTCCTGCACCCAAGGGTGAAGGTGGGGAATGAATATGTGGTGAAGGGACAGAATGTCGAACAGGTGAGGAGATGCGTCATCTGTTTGGTCTGTGTGTCATTATTTTGATACCCAGAGAGAGAATGAATGAGTTAATTTCTCTGTAATATGAAGTGAAAAATAAGGCACGATATGTCAAACATGTAAAAGCAGAACTGCGGTGTCAAACGTACTTTACAGGGTGGAAAGAAAAATTCAGTGTGTTCAGCTTCCCTTCATTCTGCTGGACGACTACTATGCTGATGAGGAACAGCTTCTTAATCCCCAGTCGATCAATACACTCGCCACTTCACACACCGTGGAATCTAGTATCTAAGCAACAGAAGCTATTCATGTGAATGACAGCTGTATTCCCTCTGTGTGTGTGTGTGTGTATGTGTGTGTGTGTGTGTGTGGGTGGGTGGGTGTTGTAGGTTAACTATGCTGTTGGTGCTCTGGCCAAAGCCACATATGACCGCATGTTCAAATGGCTTGTGGGACGGATCAACCGCACCCTGTACACCTCCCTGCCTCGCCAGTACTTCATAGGGGTGCTGGACATCGCTGGGTTTGAGATCTTTGAAGTAAGTTCATCCATACAGCATTATTATTATTATTATTATTATTATTATTATTTAAAATTCAGAATAGATTTATGAATAACTATTTACTGTCAGACTGGTTTCCTGTTTCCATATTTTGGTTAGGTATCAACAGGTGCTCTGTTTGTGCCTCGTCCTTTCTTATCGTGATGAATTAGCTCTACTGCAGGGTGAATCTCCGTGACATGTTTTTCATGCTACTCACTTCTAACGCTTCCCCTGAACACCTGTTACTCTTTCATTTGCAGTTCAACAGCTTTGAGCAGCTGTGCATCAACTTCACCAATGAGAAACTGCAACAGTTTTTCAACCACCACATGTTCATCCTGGAGCAGGAGGAGTACAAGAGGGAGGGCATCGAATGGACCTTCATCGACTTCGGGCTGGACCTTCAAGCCTGCATTGATCTCATTGAAAAGGTAGAGAGAGTGTTTTGTCACATAAGGGATGAAATTGAATCATAAATGAGTTTCACAGAGACATACTTAACACTCTGCTCTTCCTCCAGCCACTGGGCATCATGTCCATCCTTGAAGAGGAGTGCATGTTCCCCAAGGCCACAGACAGCAGCTTTAAAGCCAAGTTGTATGACAATCACATTGGCAAATCACCTAATTTCCAAAAGCCAAGGCCGGACAAGAAGCGCAAGTACGAGACGCATTTTGAGCTGGTGCACTATGCCGGAGTGGTAAGTGTTTTCTGAGTTAATCCTTAGATTAATGAATCCTTAGAAACAGAATTCAGTAAGATGGATGTCCCCCGCTGTTTTTATAGGTACCATATAACATTATTGGCTGGCTGGACAAAAATAAGGACCCACTGAACGAGACGGTAGTGGCGTGTTTCCGGAAATCCTCCAACAAGCTGCTAGCTTCTCTGTACGAAAATTATGTTGCCTCGGATGCAGGTACAGTAAACAGGAGTCTGACAGAAGACAGTAGCACCTTAAGGAGGTCAAATGAATGACTTTGCTAATTACCTTGCAGTGCCCGAACACAAGAGTGGCAGCAAGGAGAAGAGGAAGAAGGCTGCCTCCTTCCAGACCGTGTCTCAGCTTCACAAGGTGAGACTGAAGACACAGAATAAAATATTCCATTACTGATGCAGGTGAAAGCAGACAGAGGTTTTTCCAATGTTTTGTGTGGTGCGAGAACTTGGGACGGAGCTGGGACGGAGGCAGTTAAGACTTGCAGTGATGTTTAGGGCAATGATCACATGAACATCACTTTAAGTCTGTGCTGGCTCCTCTCTCCTTTACATCAAGGATTTCACATGTGAGGAACATAAAGTCTGGCAGAATTAAGTGTTTTACATCAAGATTTTGCTGTTATTTTTTGCAGTGAGTGGTGTTTTAATTGTGGTGGAGGTATTATTGTTTAACTTCATTTATGTTTCTCCAACAGGAAAACCTGAATAAGCTGATGACCAATCTCCGCAGCACCCAGCCACACTTTGTTCGCTGCATCATCCCTAATGAGACCAAGACTCCAGGTAACACACAGCATAATCCTCATACATCATCTCGAGCTAAACAAAACTGGTCTAGACTTATGTTTGAAATGTGCTCTGTGCAGGGATCATGGATGCATTCCTGGTGCTGCACCAGCTGCGCTGCAACGGTGTGCTGGAAGGCATCAGGATCTGCAGAAAAGGCTTTCCCAACCGCATCCTCTACGCTGAATTTAAACAGCGGTACAGCTCACGTTTAGATCACTTCTGCATTACATGGTATGGACTTGGAATCAGAGTGATAATCTGTCCTAAAACGCTCCTTTTTTTTTTTTTTTTTTTCCCCCCCATCTATTCAGCTACCGCATCCTGGACCCCCATGCCATCCCAGATGATAAGTTCATGGACAGCAGGAAGGCTGCAGAGAAGCTGCTGGCCTCCCTGGAAATTGACCAAAGCCAGTTTAGATTTGGACACACAAAGGTAGGAAGTAGCAGATTGTGTAAAGCAGAGCCGTGAATGGCAAAATAGCCAGTGGAGGGAAAAGCTAAATTAAACTTTATTTAAAGAATGGATAGTGTGATAGCATTTTTTTTTTAAATCAGCGTGTGATTCAGTGCTGTGCAAGTTATTGCAAAGTAGGAATAAGTTGCAGTTACTTCTGCTTGAATTACTTTACCAGTTAGCATATAAAAGTCATTAGTTACTGAGGAATGTAACTTTTGCATTCCTTTAAATATCTGCTTCAATTTTCTTATTTAAACACATTTAGCTATATTTTTTTAGTGTTGCTGTGACAGAGTAATGAACAGTATAGTGGAACAATAAAACAGAAGCACAGCACATGGACCACAACAATATATTTTTTGTTCTTGATCTCAAGGACTGAAATATAATGTCTGTATTTTACAAGACAACAAGCTCAAATTGCTTCACAATTATGTGCAGTGACGGTCTAATCCTGATTAATTGATACATGTCATTCATTGCGCTGCTGTAAGGTTGGGTGAAGTTAGATCATAACCTGGAAAAAGTCTGGGGAATACGCTGCATTGTCAGCTATGATCAAGACATAAGTAATGAGCAACAAGCCAATTTAAAATTCAGTAATTGTAATTGCAGTATTTGATTTAAAAAAGTAAGTAGTGGGGCACCTCTGGCTTAGCGAGTAGAGTGTCCGCCCCATTTGGCCTTTGCAGTGGCTTGGGTTCAATTCCAGCCTACGGCCCTTTGCTGCATGTCATGCCCATTCTCTCTCCCCCCTTCCTGTCAGTCTGAAGCTGCACCGTAATAAAGGCAATAAAAGCCACCAAAAGTAATGGAATTACAAAGTTACTCCCAACGCTGGTAATAAATCTATAATATTATCTCTAAATGTGTGTGATCGATTCTCAGTTTTCATGGTTTCAACTATGCAACTGTCAATCGTGGATATACAGTATCTGTATAAGTGAGAGGTGTATATAGTGTGTAAAGATTTTACATGATTATTACTTTGTCAAATTTTATCTAATTTATATTTTTCATCCTTATTTACCACTCAGTCATTTCTTCTGACTTTTAAGCTGCTGTAATGTGTGAATTCTCTTGGTGTAGGATTAATAAAGTCTTATAAAAATGTTTTATGATGAGGTTGTTTAAATTTTTCAAAAAAGTGCTGTCAAATTTAATAATTGTTTCATCCCCCCCCGTGGCCTCATGTAGGTGTTCTTCAAAGCAGGCCTGCTGGGTCACCTCGAAGAACTGAGGGATGAGCGTCTGGCCAAAGTCCTGATGCTGCTGCAGGCAGCCGCTCGTGGCAGACTCATGAGGATGGAGCTGAAAAAGATCATGGAAATGAAGTAAGACAACTTTTGTTGACAAACTCACTTTTTTTAAATAAAGCCAACTGAATATAAAATATATGCATATGTGGAGGAATCTTAATACCTTGCAGGAAGGTGAAGACATGGATACAAAAAAAAAGACCTCCCCCAACAGTTGCTTTTCTGAACAGGTTCAATAGCAACACAATCAGCTGCGAGCCTTTCAGCTTGTGACACACTATACCTTAGTGTTCACTCCCTCGCTCTAGTATGTGTGGTATGCAAGAGCAGTGTTATCGGCGTGTGTGAGGCGTGTGCTTGTCCATGTATGGTTACCAGGCATGTGTGTGGCCTTACTGTTAATAAGGGCTCCATCCCTCTCTCACACACTCACACACACGGGCACATACATACATACACACACCCCTCTTGCAGGTCTCCGGCCATTCTCTCTATCCACTCTCTATAAATTAAACAATGCTGACGGTGTCCTCAGAGCCAGGTGGCGACATGTGTCAAGTGGCAGCTGCTCGGGCCCTCCCTAAAAATACAACCCCCGGCCCCCTCCCTGGATGCCCGATGGCCCCTGGCCCCTTTTGTCCGCGGCGCCTGTACTTCTAAGTGAGTGCATTGATGGGATATGTGGTGGGTGACAGAGGATTAAAGTCGGCCATCGGACAGAGGGCTTTGGTTTCTAAATAAACACAGACGCTCACCTTTGAGAGGCACCCAGCATGGAGTCATGTCAAAAATGCAATCAGCTCCCCCACCCTCACCTCCCACCCCGACGTGTGCACGCTCACTCAAACTCACCCTCTAAACACTGACAGGGAGTCCTTGACCAGTCTGCTCTGGGTCCATATTTAGGGCTGCGAGACGCCATTCTACTGAGACCAAATCAATCTGGTAACCCTGTTTGGTCACAGTCGTGAAACATCAAAAGCAGCATTAGGTGTATGATTTCATTACGCATCCCTCTGTGTATGATTAGATACAAGAGAGTGGATAGCAGCAGGATTAGTGCCAGAATAAGTAACTAAATAAATAAACGGGGAACTCCAGGATAAATCTTTCTGACCTTCTTCTCTTAACTTGATCTGAACTTCACTTCTGCTGGTTTTAACAGTAGTCGCCCCTCCACCACCCTGTCAGATGAACTCATATCTACCTCTTCATCCATACTACCACCAGACACGTACCAAATGTGTGCATTTTTAATAAGCTATGCTAACATTATTATCTATATAAAAGTACATACAGGCACAATATTTGTTTAAACAAATGAACTGCAAATATTTAGCTTGATTTAATCAAGTTTGCATCTGTAATATTAGTGGCAAAGCTACATGTTACAACCATTTATCCAGTACTTTTAGCTAACTAGGTAAACTGTTTATCTGTTAGCTAACTATTTCAACCATTTATCAAGTACTTAGCTTAACTTACTACTTAAATAATTCATTCATTACTTTTAGCTAACTTCTTCAACCATTGTTTCATACAGTACTTTTAGCTAACCATTTATCTGCTAATTTTAGCTAACTGTTCAGCCATTATTTTATTACTTTTAGCTAAGTGCTTCAATCAATGTATAAAGCAACTTAACTAACAGTTCCAACTGTTTAGTTTTTCAGATACTTAAGGTTTTTTTTTTCAACCATTTTAAGTGTTATTTTTTTACTATTTAAACTGTCTATTTATTACTCTTAGCTATTTTTAACCATTTATCCAATACTTTTAGCTAACTAGGTAAACTGTTTATCTGTTAGCTAACTATTTCAACCATTTATCAGTTACTTAGCTTACTACTTAAATCATTTATTCATTACTTTTAGCTAACAGTTTCAACTGTTTAGTTTTTAGAGTACTTAAGTATTTTTCAACCATTTAAATGTTAATTTATTATTATTGCTCTTAGCCATTTTTAATTATTTATCACATACTTTTAGTTAACTGTTTAGACCAGTGATCCTCGGGCCACAGGTGATAGGGTGCTGGGTGACCTGTTGATCATTTCTGGGTGACCTGTTGATCATTTCTGATTTACAGTGAAAATAAATTTATTCACACTGGGAATTCATTTTGCAGAAGTGACCCAAAAGCGTCAAAGCAAACCGAGCATCCCTTGTTGAGACATTTCTACTTGCTTGTTAACTAGTTTTCATGCACTCTCAATCCCAAACTGTGGTGTTTAAGTGTGTTATTTCATCTTGTGTACAGGGAGGCTCTGATGATAATCCAGTGGAACATCCGGGCCTTCAATGCTGTCAAGCACTGGCCCTGGATGAAGCTCTTCTTCAAAATCAAGCCTCTACTGAAAAGTGCTGCCACAGAGAAAGAGCTGATCGCTCTGAAGGAGGAGATGGCCAAGCTGAAGGAGGCTCTGGAGAAATCTGAGGTCAAACGCAAAGAGCTGGAGGAGAGACAGGTCAGCCTGGTCCAAGAGAAGAATGATCTCTCTCTACAGCTGCAGGCAGTAAGTGGCACACTTCATTTATTCGCATATCCAGCTTTTGGAAAAACAGATAGTGCTGTGGGAATGCACTGAAAACATTCTCTTTCTCCCCTGTAGGAGCAGGACAATCTTGCAGATGCCGAGGACCGCTGTGACCTACTCATCAAAACTAAGATCCAGCTGGAGGCCAAAGTGAAAGAACTCATGGAAAGGCTGGATGATGAGGAGGAGATGAACGCTAATGTGCTCGCCAAGAAGCGCAAGCTCGAGGACGAGTGCGCTGAGCTCAAGAAAGACATTGATGATCTGGAGATCACACTGGCTAAAGTGGAAAAGGAGAAACATGCCACTGAGAACAAGGTAAGGAAACTGGAAAAGGAGTGAGTTGCCTCCAGAGGGCGCTTACAGGCCATAAACATTTCATGAGTGTCACATATATTTTCTTCCTCTGGCCTGCAGGTGAAGAACCTGATTGAGGAAATGGCAGTTCTAGATGAAACCATACTGAAGTTGACCAAAGAGAAGAAGGCTCTTCAGGAGGCTCACCAGCAGACTCTGGATGACTTGCAGGCAGAAGAAGACAAAGTCAACAGTCTGACCAAAGCCAAGGCAAAGCTGGAGCAACAAGTAGATGATGTGAGTTTATTTATGATCTGAAAAAGCACAGGTGGTGACATATCATATGCGTAATATGTAAAATTTACAACCTTCTTCCTGTGCATCAGCTGGAGGGATCACTGGAACAGGAGAAGAAGGTGCGTTTGGACCTGGAACGGGCCAAACGTAAGCTGGAAGGAGATCTGAAACTCTCCTTGGAGTCGGTTATGGACTTGGAGAATGACAAGCAACAACTTGAGGAGGTCCTGAAAAAGTGAGTTTTCATATATATTCACGGAAAAACATGATCTTGTCATTAAGAAGTAATGATTAATAATGATTGCCAAATGTTTTTTTTTTTTTTTTTTTTTTTTTACCAGGAAAGACTTTGAAATAAATGCGATGAGCTCAAGGATTGAAGATGAGCAAGCCTTAGTAAATCAGCTCCAGAAGAAGATAAAGGAGCTACTGGTGAAACTAGTCTCTTCATCTCTTCTATAGCTGTCATATGACATCAGTTTGACAAAATAACTGACCATTGCTTTTGTCCAGGCTCGCACAGAGGAGCTGGAGGAGGAACTGGAGGCTGACCGGGCTTGCAGGGCCAAAGTAGAAAAGCAGCGTGGAGATGTGGCTCGTGAGCTCGAAGAGCTAAGCGAGCGCCTGGAGGAGGCTGGTGGGGCCACCTCGGCCCAGATCGAGATCAACAAGAAGAGAGAGGCGGATTTTCTGAAGATGCGCCGAGACCTAGAGGAAGCCATGCTGCACCACGAGGCCACGACGGCTACCTTGCGAAAGAAGCATGCCGACAGCGTCGCAGAGCTGAGCGAGCAGATCGACAGTCTGCAGCGAGTCAAGCAGAAGCTGGAGAAGGAGAGGAGCGAGGCAAAGATGGAGGTTGATGATCTGGCCTCTACTGTGGAGCAGCTCTCAAAGGGCAAGGTAGAAAAAAAAGGATAAGATCTAAAGTAGTATGGGACCAAACTAGGTCAGTTCCTTCAAAAAAATGTTTATCTCTTTTTTGCAGGCGACTTCAGAGAAGACGTGTCGCCTGTATGAAGACCAAATGAATGAGGCTAAAGCCAAGGTTGAGGAGCTCCAGAGGCAGCTCAATGACACCACAACCCAAAAGGCCCGTGCTCAGTCCGAGAGTGGTAAGGACCTTTCATTTTATGATAAATCCACAAACAGATTTGACAGAGCAGTTCATAACACAGATACCTTTTTCTCCTTTCCGTGTAGCCGAGTTGAGCAGGAAGCTTGAAGAGCGGGAATCCATGGTCTCCCAGCTCCAGCGTGCCAAGAACTCCTTCGGCCAAAATGTCGAGGAGCTCAAGAAACAGCTGGAAGAGGAGAATAAGGTCAGCTCCTTATCACTACATCAGTCAGTGGTGGTTATATACAAAACTGGTTGCTACCTCTGCAGAAATTCAGGGCTTCTCCATTTCAACTAATTGCTCTCTACCATCATGATTGGTCTCTTAAGGCTAAGACCGCCCTGGCTCATGCACTGCAGTCATCTCGTCATGACTGTGATCTTCTGAGAGAGCAGTATGACGAGGAGCAGGAAGCCAAGGCTGAGATGCAGAGAAGTCTGTCCAAGGCTAACGCTGAGGTGGCTCAGTGGAGGACTAAGTATGAAACTGACGCCATCCAGAGGACTGAGGAGCTGGAGGAAGCCAAGTGAGTGAGATATATTTCTAACTTGCAGAATCTGATTGTACACAATGATTGTTTGAATGTACATCACATGTGTTTGCCTCTCTCTTAGGAAGAAGCTGGTGACACGTCTGCAGGATGCTGAAGAGACAGTGGAGGCTTCCAATGCCAAGTGTTCTTCTCTGGAGAAGACAAAACATCGGCTCCAGACAGAGATCGAGGACCTGGTTATTGATCTGGAGCGTGCCAATGCTGCAGCCGCTGCCTTGGACAAGAAGCAACGCAACTTTGACAAGGTATTAGCTGATGGCAGCTGTGAGAGGATTGCATTAGCGGTCATTCTAATTAGTTAGATGACTTTATTGCGCATCTGTTTTATTACCTGGTGACTTGGTAGGATTGGGTTCTGGTATCATCTACAACAACGCCAATTTATGACTCTTGCTCCACTGCAAAAATTGGTCATGTTGTTTCCTCCAGGTGCTGGCTGAGTGGAAACAGAAGTATGAAGAGTGCCAGGCAGAGCTGGAGAGCTCTCAAAAAGAGTCGCGTGGTCTGAGCACAGAGCTCTTCAAACTGAAGAACTCTTATGAGGAAACCCTGGATCATCTGGAGACTGTCAAGAGGGAGAACAAGAACCTTCAAGGTGCATAACGATGTAGCTGACATCATGAATATCCAGTTAGAAGGTTACCTTAAAACAAATGACTAGTTTTTCCTTGACTTCATACAAAATATAAACAGTATTTCTATCTCTGCTTCTCCAGAGGAGATCGCTGACCTGACCGATCAAATCAGTCAGGGAGCGAAGACCATCAGTGAGCTGGAGAAAATAAAGAAGAGTCTGGACATGGAGAAAAGCGAGATTCAAGCTGCCCTGGAGGAAGCCGAAGTAAGCAGTTTTCTGACTTCCTCTTTCTTGCAGTCTGGGATTTTTTTTGAGGAGACCTACAAAATATCCTTAAGGCTTAAGTGTCTGTCTGTCTCAGGGCACTCTGGAGCATGAAGAAAGCAAAACTCTCCGCATCCAGCTGGAGCTGAACCAGATCAAGGCTGATGTTGACAGGAAGCTGGCAGAGAAGGATGAAGAAATTGAAAACCTTCGGTGAGATTCATTGATTACTCGTTCTTATATATAGCAGAGATGTGATTCTATCACCACTCTGTACAAACAGTTTTCTCTCCATGACGTCTTTAGCCGCAACCACCAGAGAACACTGGAGTCCATGCAGGCCACCTTGGATGCCGAGGCCAAGTCTCGCAACGAGGCAGTGCGCCTGAGGAAGAAGATGGAGGGCGACCTGAATGAGATGGAGGTGCAGCTGAGCCATGCCAACAGGCAGGCCGCTGAGTCCCAGAAACTCGTGAGAAACCTGCAGGTTCAGATTAAGGTGAGTTCATCCAGCAGCAAGTCGATGAACTTAGCTGATGTGACAGATTCATTAGTACACAGAACAAATTCCATCCATCCAAATCCTTTGCTTGTATGTTATCTGTGAGTCCAGGACATTCAGTTGGAGCTGGACGACACTCTTCACAAGAACGAGGAGCTGAGGGAGCAGGTGGCGGTGACAGAGCGCCGCAATAACCTGCTAGCTGCTGAGGTTGAGGAGCTAAGGGCCCTGCTGGAGCAGAACGACCGTGCACGCAAGCTAGCTGAGCATGAGCTGCTTGAGGCCACTGAGAGGGTCAACCTGTTGCACTCCCAGGTAGGAAAAAACATTTAAAACCCCCGTGCAGTGGATGAAAAATAAATCACTTCATAATTCACTTCAAATAAATAAAGGGATGGTCACTTATTTTCAGGCTGGATAGTGTTTGTTAGCTGTAAATATCCTACAGAAGCAAGTATCTCTCGCATATTTGTTGCTCTCTGGTTCAGCTGCTGTGATTATTGATGGTATGTTTGGTTCCATTAAATCCCAGCTAGTGTCACAAATGAAAAAAAGAAAAAATTGAAAACAAGAAATTGATATTTTAATCCTGAAATGATTCCTCAAACTGACTCTTTTGCTGCAGAACACTGGGCTGATCAACCACAAGAAGAAACTGGAGCATGATCTGTCCACACTGTCAAATGAGGTGGATGATGCTGTGCAGGAGTGCCGCAATGCAGAGGAGAAGGCCAAAAAGGCCATCACTGATGTAAGATCTGGAATATATGAGATACAAAGTGCATGATTTAAGACATTGCACTAATTCAAAATGGATCTGCATGGAGTTTGATAGTGATTTCCACCCATTACCATTAAACATTTATCCTCTGACTTCTTGTAGGCGGCAATGATGGCAGAGGAGCTGAAGAAGGAGCAGGACACCAGCGCCCATCTGGAGAGGATGAAGAAGAACATGGAGCAGACCATAAAAGATCTGCAGATGCGTCTGGACGAAGCTGAGCAGATCGCCCTCAAGGGCGGCAAGAAGCAGGTCCAGAAGCTGGAAGCTAGGGTGAGAGATTAGACAAATTAAATGTTGATGTAGTCACCTGATGATCCTTTTAACAGGTCATGACTTTTCACACTGGCTGGTCATTTTCTGGTCTTGCTGGTAGGTCAAAGAACTGGAGAATGAATTGGAAGCTGAGCAAAAGAAGAGTCAAGAGTATCAGAAGGGAGTACGCAAGTATGAGAGGAGAATCAAAGAGCTCTCCTACCAGGTAAACTACCAGAATGTTTGCACATATGACATGCTATGGTGTCAAATATGAAGGCATGTTTGTAAGAGCTACCTGTACTGTCTGTGCAGGCTGAGGAAGACAAGAAGAACCTGGCCCGCCTGCAGGACCTCATCGACAAGCTGCAGGTCAAGCTGAAGAGTTTCAAGAGACAGGCTGAGGAAGCGGTGAGTCCACTATCAGCAGTTTAGAAGTATTTATCTGTGATAAGTTATCCTAAGCACCTCTTCACTTCACTGTACACTAAATGGTTTTCATGGTTTCCTCCACTCTGCAGGAGGAGCAGGCAAACACCAACCTCTCCAAGTACAGGAAGCTCCAGCATGAGCTTGATGATGCAGAGGAGAGGGCTGATACGGCCGAATCGCAGGTCAACAAGCTCCGGATCCGCACCAGGGATCAAGGTAGCAAGGTCAGTAAACTAAATACATTTCATATTACAGTATGCTGCCGAACTGTATGACCTTTAGAAGTATTTATTAAAATTAGCCGGCAGGCTTTACAACAAGAACTAATCTGAGAAGAGACTGGATGTAATCCTCTGTTGAAGATGACCTCACATAGCCCTCTCATGTGATCTCTAGTGCGGTCATGAGTAACTCTATGATACTGTGTATGTGGTTGCTAATAAACATCCCTGTCCTGTGTATTTCAGCATGCTGAATGATGTGAGGCTGAACGCTGCGGACAAACATATCATAGCCAGCCAGCTGCAACAGCTGTGCTCGACTGTGACAACGCACCCAAATAAAGACTTCAAATATATACTTTAAATATGACTGATTTGTTTTTTCAGTGTGAATATGTGATAAAGATAGAAATCCCACAAAAGAGGTCTAAAGAAAATTTATTATATTATTCATTTGACAAACAGCTGTTAAATAAAGAAAATGAAGTTCAATACCAGCATTAGAGAAGGAACATGTGGGTGAATGTTGGTTACAGAAGTTGTTATAGTAGAAACTAAAACATGAATCTTTTCTCTGTTTGTTTGAAGGTCAAACAGGGTTAGAAAGATTAAGACTGGAGTGTGCAGAGGTGAATTTTTAACACTACCATGTGAGATTTTATGCATCTTTTTAATGCCAACACATAAGAAAAACATGGGTCGTTATCTAAAATGGATTTTAATTTTACACCATGAATATTATCCACTGTCAGCATCTCAAGGTTGTTCCTTTCGATACACACCACAGATGCTGTCGATCATGGTGAGGTGAGACAATCATATCTGATCGAAAAAAGCACCACATGGTCTGAGATCTGAGTGTGAGTTTAGGACAGGCTGCAAAATATATCTAAGAATATCCTCATCATGCCAAACGTTACATAAATCTCCAGCTAATAAAAGTCAAAAGGGATCTAAAATAAAAACCAAGTAGTGTTATGTTTAACACTGTGCAGCATGTTCTTGGCCAAGGGGATAACATTTCACCATTTCTATACAAACTAATGACTGAAAGCTAAGGCCTACTAGGAGCATCACACCACATACAGCATTAAGAACCATTTCTCTTGTGCATCATACAGAGGGATCACTCTCTCTGAAAATTCAGATCACAAAGCTACAGAAGTCAGAGATTGTTTATATAGGCGCTCCAGAAGAGCACTCACAACATTCATGTTTTTATGCCGATAGTTGACTTCCATGGTGAATGACTGGAGTGGCGAGAAGAGATCTGGATCAATGATAACACACAGTCAGTACCCTGTGTCAAATCACATTTTGTTGTAGCAATTATCTCGGGCATCCATCCAGCAAAGAAACTGAGAGTTTATAAGAGAGAAGCACTTGTAAAGTGTGTTAACTTCACTGCAAAGCACAAAAGATGAACTAATTCAAGGTATGTGCAACACCCATCAAGAGATTTAAGACATGCTGAATGAAAGCTAGAAAAAGAGGAAACATTTCTGGTTAATTAGCTTTAAAGCAAATAAAAGGCTTTCAAAGTGTAAAGGACGTTTGTGTTTGCATCCCAAAAGGCGGCATAGCACTAGTAACTCATGGCATCAGGGGCCAACTGTAGAAATGCCCTTATACATTCACATGAACATGTATTATGAGTCATGACATGCTGGGAGTAAAACTGTACACTTGTCGTTAGGAGTGGTTTGATCTGTGTCAGGATAAAATATGAGGTAGCTCATCCATTTGTACTTATCTCAGGGCTGGGGCTGTTTAATTTGAGATAACGAATATCTATTCAGCTCCGCTCCTTCCATTCCCACTAAAGGGCTGCACATTCAGGCTGTGGACACATCGTCAACATGCCCACTGCTTCATCTTTATCCAAACTAAAGATCGAGTGGTGTCATGCAAAAAGTCGTCACAGAAAGATTGTCATTCTCAGCATGTAGTCAGAGATTTTGAGAGACCGCACATCGTGGTATACCTTCCACTCGATGCTAATGACGCTGGGCAGAAAGCTAATTCACATCAATGCTGCGTGGACTGGAACAATGAAAGTGGTTTCTTAACACTAGCGCCTGCATAGTTTATTCTCTTCCCAAAGCATCTGTCACAACATGGATACAAATTCTGTTACAAAATGAAAAACGTTTTTAATCAACAAATGTGTTAAAATATAATAAACAATAAAAACAATTTAATCTGTGCAATGTTTTATTCTACAGTTTATCCAGAGCTAAAAGCCATTGTTTTCAACAAGACAAAAAGTAAATCAACCAAAAAAAAAAAAAAAAAAAAACCTGGTAAAGAAAACGAGTCCCTGGGTGAGGCTTCTGAAGCCACGACAGAGTGTGGATGGTTTTAGGTGAGAGGAGCCCCGTGTGATTTGTGAAACATGTCAGCCGGCTCACAAGCTACCTAAATGTGCTGAGTAGAGCCAGAAAGCACCGATCGACAATAGCCACCTAATAAAATAGACCCACAGACGGGTTAAATGAAAATGCTGTTCGTTGAGAAGACCCCTGCAAAAACTCCAACATCACCAGTTTCCCAACGCAGGTCAGGCAGTGGAGGGACGTGGAGTCATCACAGAGTGTGTAGGTAGTGGAGAGTGAGGCTGCTGACTCCTGGCAGCCCTGTGACGCACCACTGACCTGCACAACGGTTCAATCTGTGGCCATTTCCAAACCAAGTCCACGTGAAAAGACTCTTTTTCTAACATATACTTTGTTGAATCATACATATTTTTTTCATAGAATTTTGTATAGGTTATATAAAAGGCTCTATTTGAATTTCACCTAAAGCAAACAACCAATGCAGGTGTCATTTCACAAGGTCCTTTCATTGTCTGTTAAATGATGTGGGCAATTTGGGGTGGGCAAACAGGTCCCCCTCCCTTTTCTTTGAAGAAGAGGACGGTAACTTAGTGACAAGATGATAGCCAGGCAAATTTATGTCCCATCACAACCGTGACGATGGCCTCAATGCAAAGGTACAGACAGCTAACAGGTGAGTCTTTACATCCAGAACGCAGTCATGAAGCGCCTGGATGGCTCAGCTCAGTGGAGTCATCACCAGCTTTAGGTGTCCATGCTCCCTGTGACCCTCCACCCTGTCCCACCCCCTGCACACTGAGTGCACACGCTGGAGGTCAATCTTCCAGCAGGTCTCTGTCCAGATCCATGAAGGGCTCATCAATGTAGCTTGTAATGGCACACAGAGAAGTCCTGTCTGAGCCCAGCAGCACTGACACCGTCTCCTTCCAGTAGCTGAAGGGGATACAGGAGCTCTGAGAGGAGGGAGACCAGACAGGATTTAGAACAATAAAAATCCCTTTGACTTAGTGTTTGCAAGCTAACCACAGTATGTGGTAGTGATTAGTAGATGCAATTAGCTGTCAAGTTAGCCTTTTTGTCTAGAGTTTGGAGGCTCAACAGAGAAATCAGCCTGGCTCAGCTGTAGTTCTGGATGTCTATGGAGTGGTGCAGGAATGATTCCCAAATCCCAGAAATGAGTTAGCATTTTAGCACTCCCAGTTCCCTCGTCTTGAAGTCAAAGGGTTTTTGGTTAAATGCTTGGAATAAGGTCTGTGTTTAACACAAGCTTAAGAAACCTTCATGTTTTGTTCTACGACATTACGTTCGTCTACTGATACCCTACTTATAAGTGGCTAAATGAGACAACAGAGTGTCATCATGCAGAACATGGCTTTACAGCCTCGTTGCTGTGGCAGTGTTGAAGTCATGTGACCCAGGTGTAGTTCCTTTATAGGCAACCGTTAGATTCTTACTTCTGGCAATTGCATTAACACTTGAAAAATCATTAAAGTGGCGTTCATTTGTGAAGATTATCTTGCTGAACAAAACGTGCAAGTGTAATTTTTCTTGCCATGGACCCTTTTTTTTGTTTTTTTTACAATAATCTAAAATCCAATCAAAAAAAAAAAATCACATTGGCTCTTTGTCAAAGGAACTATGGTGACACTAACTTCCATGTTGGCCTACAAATAAACATCGTCCCTGCAGCACTACTGGATCAGCACAAACTCTTTTATGTATATTTAGCTGATAATTTCCCCATCAGTTAATACGGTAAATGAGGATACATCAAAGAGATTAAAACCTTGTGTTTACAAAAGCCACATCTTCAGCTTTTGTCTTGTGTATATACTTGTGAAAACATTCTGAAACACTGTTAATGTTGAGGCAGCCATGACATGCATTTTTGGCCACTTGGGGGCAGCAGAACAAGCAAATACACAACACTGATATTTCATTAAGTGGTTACAGCTAACCTGTTTGTAAACAGTTGTCTAGTTATAAATCCAGCTGCTGAGGAGCAATATAGCGTTGATATGGAGTCATGTTTTTGTCCACCTGGTGAATATTTTGATCTTAACCAACTCTTGAGAAAAGTATCTGGCTCTTAAGCTGCTAAACACTCCACTATGTTCATTAACTTTATCTGTCTGCTGTCTGGTGCTGGGCCAGTAGTGTACAGTGGATTACGCAGAGCTTCCACTCTGTAAACATCTGCCGTCTGCAGCTGGAAAGAACACTGATGAGAGCAGTGAGAGTGAAAAAAAATAAATAAATTGCGGGCTATAACTGCAGAGCTTAAGGGAACAGAAGACTTGGTGAGAACTCTGTCTCTTTGTCACGTAGTCCTTTGACCCCATTGTTAATATAAAAATATTAATGAATGCAGCTGTAACGCAAAGCTAACAAGTACAAAGTATGAAACCTCACCACTAGGAAATGCCGACAGCCAGTTTGACAACTGAACCACCATTCTGTCCTGTTTTTAGGTCTCTCCTCTGTTGAGGTCCCTAGCACACTGATCCAATACTAAAAGGTGAAGTTAGAAACACTGCTGCCTGTTGACTGTCAATAAAGAATCAACACAGCTGCTCGACAAGAACTACGGCTGACTGTAACCACTTTTCCTACAGCGACACGTTTATATACATTAATCAACTAGAACTATAAAATGAAAGGATGTTTTGCTGCCTCTTCATCTTTACTAGTTTACAGTTAGTTATAGACTGCATTTTTTTTTTAAATTCACTGTGCTGCTCAAAGGTTACCACCTGCAACTACTGGCAACTTTTGAGGTGGAATGTTTTCTTGCATGTTACTCAATGCATGAGTTGATGTCGTGAATCAATCAACATACCTTACATTTCAGTATGACAATTCTGACAATTCCTTTCATTTCTATTGGCTCTCCAGCATAACATTAGTGATGATTGGATCTTTATGCACTAAACAAATGATTCAACCGGTTAATGTGAACTGCAAATATTCTATTTCCTTGATCCTGAGTGCGCAGGCGACACTAAACCTCTGCTCTGCTCTAATCACTTCAGCCTGTCATGTTTGTTTTGAGAATGTCACGCAGCCCTGTTCCATGAGAAGTGAAATACATTTACATGTTTGTCTTTCGAGTCCTATTTTATGTTTACTGTGTGCATCCACCTTATCAATACAGTATGAGTCAATATGAGTATTTAGTTGTGGTCACCCAGTGAGTTGTTATCAGTGCATACAATACTGCAGCATCACGCCCACCACCATGAGGGTGCAGTACAACACTTAAAAGCAAAACCAAGAATGAGGGCAATTTTTCACCAAACAGACCTGAAAACAATCATAAATGAAAGTGGTAACACAAAGTCTGAAAACTACTTCCTGTCTGCATAACCTCAAGAAGTTAAGATGATATGGAAAATTGGGAGAAATAAGATAGATGTGATTAAGATATATGATCATTTTTTGGAATCTCCACTCTGCTTTAACACTTGCAACTGCTTTAAGAATGGACCTTTAAGAAGATACTTAATGATTGTGTTGACCAATTAGCAATGTTGAGTAGTGAGAAGGAAATTTGTTTTTAGCACTATTTGGACGGGATTAGTTTTACATGGGCACATGGGGTAATGTCACTTTACCACAGGACGTCGGTAATATTAATGGCCAATTCGCACGGGATAAGAAATATCAGTAAAACTACCACAAGTGGGAGGGGTAAATCCATTCACGCGCCGCCGTCCCCTCCTGTCGTCATGTACGTATGATGTTGCTTTCTGCGCGCACCACACTCGAACACACTTGAATCGTGTTCGTCGTAGGCCCACAGTACCTGAGGTTTCACACGGACTTGTCCGACTATGAAGTGCAAAACTGAGTGCTTCTTCAAGAGCCTCCATGCTTGAAAATCCGCGAAAAACAACATGTAAACAGGATATGACGAAATATCTACACACATACTTACTGCTGGTCTATTCGCACGGGATTAATATTACCTTAGGTAATTGTCCGGGACCCTTTTACAGAAGGTAAAAGTCGCGGTACTTTACTTTACTGACATTGTGTGGTAAAGATTACTGAAATGGCACATTTGGACAGGACTAAAATCTCTGGTAATTATTACTTTATCCCACGTACCTATGTAAAACTAATCCCGTCCGAATAGGGCTTTTGAGAAATTAGCGATGGCCAAGGAACCAAAGTCACAACCAGTTTCTGTTAGTGCAAAAGGACAGCATTCCCAAAGTTCTTCAAATATTTCCTGCAGTGGACAGGGTGTTTAACCTACAACAGTCTACACATTTCCAAACATGCACATCTTATCTATACAGAACACAACTCAGCTGCTTTTTTTTAAATATCATCTCTCTTGGAATTTTTCTCCACTTTAGCCAAAATGGAGGTCTAAAACTAGTTGTACAAGCTCCGTGTTTCGACCCTACAACACACATGACTGTGAAGCAGCATACTTAAAGTCTTTGTTTTCCCAGCATGCATACATGGGGTTTCTCTGTAAGAATGTTTTGAATGTGTGACAGACAAATGACTGAGTGTAAACAGTAGACACTTGTGGGTACGCTGCCTGTGCATATTGTGGCACAGTTAAGATAGAGCTACTCACGTTCTCCAGACAGGTGCTGTCTTTGTCCTTGTTGAGGTAGTGACGCTGCCAGAAGCGCAGTAGGTTGTGGAAGTTGTTGAGCAGGCAGCCTGGGTACTTCTCAGCATACTCCTTCTCCCGCAGGGCATTGAGGTAGAAGGGCAGTTTAGCCTTTCTTCTGGCCAGCATCAAGATCACCAAACTGGTGTTTAAACAGCTCACGTTCTCCTGCAGGAAAAATGGGATGGGATGGTAGCAGATAGCAGACGTTACTTCAAGTTAAGAAATAGACTTCAACTTATTTTGTTTAAATCTGTGAGTCAAATACTTCCTTATTCTTGAAATGTGAGTTTCTCTGAATACATGTGACAAAGTGAAAATGAAACAAGACCTGTGTGAGTGTCTGTACGTTGATGATGTTGATCAGTCGAAAGAGGAAGGACAGCCTGTTCTCAACTCTGGCCATGTAGGACAGCAGGCAGCATTCAGAAAGTACCTCAACCACTGGGGAAAATACAGAAAAATATTCAATAGGACGAGCACCTCCACCTGTTTGTGATCTTTACACAGAAAACGGAAGTATTTTTCAACTGTTTTGGTTTTTCCAGTGTGGTCAGCAAATAGAAAATGATCTGAAAATACTATTCTCTACTAACGCAATGTAGTGTGACATAATCATTTTATGAGCAGCACGTCTGTTTATTTCCTGTCAACTCTGTGGTAACATTACCTTCACCTCCAACCTAAGTGATCACAGTGCTCTTTCATCCTTAAGCTAGGGACTTTTCACAGTTAGCGTTGCACATATTGGAAATAGTATTTACGGTATATTTTTGTGTGTAGTGTTCTTGATCATTTCTATAAATCACTTCAGTTTCTTTATACAGTGAGGTTAGCAGGTCGGCTAGCCTAGCTGTATACACATATATTTCAAATATCAGAGATCAGAGCTTTACTGCTCGCTTTTGCAAGACGGTGTACATTAGTCACTTTATTTTTGGAAGCTCCTCCAAGTACCAAGTGTCAAAAGACGCATAGTGACCTTATGTTAGCTAAACTCTGAAAAATCAGGCTAACGTTGGTGCTACACTGAGCGAATAGCTAAAGTCTCTAACGGTTATCTAAGACACTGAGGTGATGCTGAAAATGATAAAAAAAAAAAAGAAATGTTAATTCTATTAATATGCACAAAGCTATAAACACATAAAAAGTGTTTTCAGATTTTTCTAAGACTGGATAAATATTTGTCAATTACCCAGTCACTACTTAACAACTGTTTTTCATGATTTTTATTTCTATTTTACTCTTTATTTCACATTTTACAGTCTGTCAAATCAGCAACAAGTGCAGGAAAAACGCCTAAATCTAACTGGTCAAAAATCAATCCAAAATAAAAAATGATTTCACTAACTTCTCTTTTAAACATTATCTCATCAACTAGTTTTTATGCGTAAACTTTCCATCCCAGTTTACCTTTGACATCTTCAGTCTGGCTCTCAAAGCGGTCCAATGAAAGGACGATGCAGCGCACCAGCATGTTAGAGTCCACCAGAGAACTGTTGATCTGCGTCAGGAAAGTCTGAAACTACAGAGGAGATATCAAATGAGCCCTTTAGACACACTTTTTCATCCACCACACAAGCTGAGAAATGTCTGTTTAATTTAATTTTGTTGGGCCAACATATACATCTCATTTTTGTAAAGCATATAAAGTGTGCAATTATACCTTCTCTGGAGTGTTGACATATTTGTTGAATCTTTTGAAGGCATCAATGTTGAACTTCATGAGCTCTCCAAGCAGATCAAAGTAGCTCTGCAGGACATCTCGAGATGTGCAGCCACTGTCTATGATGCAAAACAGGATGTGCTGTCGAGCAATGGAAGCAGAGTGTGAGAAGCCATTCAGCAAAGACAGATCTGTGCAATGTGGATCATCTTCATGGATGATGAGAAAAGCAATCTGTGGTTGTAGTTTTACCTCTAGTAGTCCCCTCTTGAGGAGAAACATTTGGTCTGCATAGGAGGTGGCTCCTCTAAGAAAACTTTCCACTGCCCTTGCCTGCCAGAATCTACACAAAAAAAACAAAACAGAAAACTTCAGCAAAGCTATAAAAAGCATAACTAGAGAGACAAATCCTTTCATAAATAGCAGAGTGCCTGGTGCTCAATATGGGGACTCTTTGAAGACGTTTGACAAAATCTGCATCTTTATCTCCTGCATCTTAATCTTTGGCCTACGTGATGCTGACCTGAATGATGAGTCTGGAGGCTCCCTCTTCATGACGGTGAGGAGACGTGTGAGGAGGCCCTTCTTCCCATCGCACACTAGGCTTCTGTCTGTGTTGACCAATGCTTCAACCTCAGGGATGTTAGCCTTCATGGATATGGCACTAAGTTCATTTAGCTCCTGGCTATTCAGCAGGAGGTATTTGTTCCTGAAAGACAGGTAAAACATGTTAAAAAACAAACATAATTTGAAAGGAGAATTCAGCCACAAGGTGATTCACTTACTCATGATGATCACTGAAACTTTGAAGGAGCCGCAAGAACTGGATTTTGAAGGATATTTCCTGCACAAGGCAAATAAAGAGAGTTAATGTTAAACTTGGAAACATTTTTATGTAATTTCCCAGAGCCCAGTGTCCAACAAAAGTGTTGAAAGTTCATACTGGACTACAGTCGCAGTTCTCATTCTGGCCATGGACGACGTGATTTGAGGCAGTGTATTTCCTCCAGATCAGCTTGTCAAAGAGGTTATTGAGCCCTGGGATAAGACGAAACTCGGCCAACATCTTGTGAACCTGTGCAGAGACATCATAAAGGGCTCATTGAAATATGTATCGTAGAACTCTGTTTAGACCAAACACTCCAGTTTCAATCCCAAATAGATGTGTGCTGTTAAAAAGGGACTGTTTGCCCCATAATCAAAAATACTTTTTTTGTCTGTCCTGTGGTGGTTTTTATCAATCTACATTGTTTTGGTGTGAGTTGCAGAGTGTTGAGGATATTGACCGTAGAGATCTCTGCCTTTTCTGGAATATAATGGAACTAGATGGCACTCAGCTTATTGTGCTCAAAGTGCCAAAAAGGTACCTCTGACAAACTCAACAGCAATTTCTCATTCCAGAAATCATGACCTGGTTACTCAAGATGTAAGGTGTTGTGAGCAGTTTCATGTAGGAACTATTTTCTGTCTGCCGAACTACACTCACCAACCGAATCTCCATGCAGAGGTGTGGCTCTGCTGCTTGTTACCTAGCACCACTTAGCCAGCCAACATTACAGCTCAGCTGAGGAGGGCATCATAAACGTTTACGTCTCGCACTGTCACAAGCACGAGCCTCTTGTCCATGAGTAGATGCACGCTTCATGTGCGGTGATAGAGTTGGTGGGTGTAGCTTGGTAGAAAGAAAATAGTTCCTACATAAAACTCTACAGACAATATTTCCAACACTCTGCAACTCACACCAGAAGAATCTAGACTGATTAATAGCATTACAGGTAAGAGGAACTATATGAATTTTTAAATTTGGGATAAACTGTCCTTTTAGCTCTGATTAGAGCACTCAGCTTAAAACTTAGGGAGGAAAGAGATGTGTGCCCTTAAGTACCTGGTTCCTCTGTCGACCCATAAGAAGGACACAAAGTACATAAAGCACTTCCACTTTATACATGATCTCGTGGACAATCTTCATGGACTGGGGCAGTCGATGTCTCAGAGGGCTGGTGGCCAGGGAGCTCTCATCTGATGACTCTGGAGATGAGAGGGGAAAAAATATTTCAAACAAAGTTCACAAGATTTAAGCAGTGTGAAGAGCCAGCAGCACAGCTAACTGTTGCCTCACCTGTACTGCTTTGTTCAGCCTCCTCTGTAGCCATCTGCATGAGGGCGTCCAGGACCAGAGCATTGTCCAGCCATGTGTACCAGTCCTCCAGCTCCTGCAGGAAGTTAGCTCCTGTGGCCTCAGACACCTTTCTAGTGGCCAGTTTACACAGCCGCTCAATGAAGCCAGGGATGTTCAGCAGGGTTACTATTAGAGAAACAGCATTGATAGTTCACAAATTACTGATCCGTTCTTTTGCAAAGGCACAAAATACATTACAAATTGACCTCTGTAGTCTAAAGACACCTACCCTGGTTGACCTCTGCCCGTGAGGGGCTAGCATTGCGTTTCTGCTGTGCATTTTTAGCCAGCAGGGTGTGCTTGTCGTCATTTCCTACATCGGGTTCTGAGATGGTGACAGACAGGATGCGGCAGAAGTTGGCTAACTGTTGTTGGTCAAAGCTTTGGACCAGGCCTGACAGGTTGGGGATGCCCTCTAACTGGATCATCTCCTGGAAAATGCAAACATATGAACTGCTATCAAACTGAAAGCAACAAAAAAATGGTAATAGATAAAAGATAAATTGTGTCCTGTATGTTTCACACTACATTACTGCAGCAATGGTTTATTATAATTTTTGCCAGGCTGTATTCCCTTTGATGTTTTGATCTGTAGTGATCAAGATTTCTTCCTTCGGCCTGATAACATATTCCATGCAAGGTATGCCTATACATACTACTAAACCTTAAAAGGAGAGAAAACAACACTGTAATACTGGAACAGGGTCCTTAAAACAGAAGAGGACATGAAAGTTTTATACTTATAATTCTTCATTGCTACAAAAAGGATTACCAATGCAACCCAAAAAGCCACTATGTTTGATACAGTAACTTCCGGGTAGAAAATCCTTGCGTCACAAAAACAGTAATCTTACTTTGCAGAACACAGGTACGGCTGGTTCACCACTGCGTCGATTAGTGTTTAAGGACAAGAGGGAAAATACTCCAATTGTAGCATACAATTAAAATATGTTTTGCTGTGGCCGCCATCAACAGCAGTGCATTGCTTGGCTTCCTTGCCAGTAGATTTGGTTTAGCAAAGCAACGCAGTACACAAAATGAGCACAGCACAAATGTCAGATATGTCAGACCACCACATTTAACTATTTATCTTTGAACGATATAGTTACAGCTGAAAATAACAACAGAAATAAACAAGTTTGCTGATTTCACATATCTCCACAATTTAATCCACTGCCAGTTGTCTACCCAGAAGTGACAGTTGTCATTAGCCTAACATCACAGTTGTTGGGTCAATTCTATAAAGAATTACATTCCTGTCATGGTGTTGCAGAGGTTAGTCAAAATGAATCTAAAATGTCAAATGTAAAACCATCTCTGCCCCAAATATTTCTACTGACATTCTCTTTGTGACATACAGAGGGGAGGTGGTTTGCACTGGAAATACCTTTGAAAAGAAAAATCAAAATATTAATCTATCTGCAATAATTACTAAAAAGAAGAGGACACGCTTTTGTCAATCTGCTCCTCATTGTTATCATCACCTGTTAACACTACCAGGACCAGAAATGTGAAGGTGAAAACACAAAGCAACTATATTTTTGCAATCTTCAATGTACGGGAAAATTTAGGTGGCTTAAGACAATTAAGTCATTTTAATATTTGAGGAGATGAACAAGATACACTAGGAGTGCCTACGAACCCTCCACATTTAGGTACCACAACACCTTGAAAGAGTAGAATTATTTTAACATTAAGTGGATTTAATAACACACACATATAACGCATCTGGGTTAAAAAAAAAAAAAGTAAAAAGACTGCAGAGTACACAGCGTTTGCCGAGTAATCTGGGAAATTACAAAACACTCACTGCACAGAGCTAAGCAAAGACAGTGATATGTGCTTTAAAATATTGAGGAATAATTTCAAATGGAGCACAGCATGATTCTAAAATTAAGGCACGGGTGCAACATTTGGGTGTTAGCAGCTCTGCAAGGCACAATCGTTCTGGCATTAGAGGTGTCTGTACATGGACAACAGAGCCAGCAGATAACAATACAAATGTATCCGCAGAGGAAAAATTTGAAAAGGATATTATTTTCACAGAAAAATTAAGATTAATTATTAAATTTGACTGACTTGAGAGAAAAATGGGCACATGAAACGTAAGTTGTGAGAGGATTGCTGACTTGCCAAACTTGTCACTGCATAATCACAAAGTGACTTGATAGGCCTTTTCACTCTGGGGGGGCATGAACAATGTTTATGTGATGAGGATTTATTAAAACTAGAACTCTGACCTTTTTAACTCCAAGAATATCTTCAATTAGGGTAGCGGTCTGTAGGAAAGTCTTCTTATTTGTCATCAGGGTGAACAGAAACAGAACAAAGTCATCCCTCGCTGCCAGGCTCTTTGTGACCCCCTCCGTCTATAAATTGAAAGAAGAAAATTTGCGCTTTTGTTAAACCATGTGTGCTCATCCTGTTTTGAGACACAAACCACCTTCAAGGAAAACACTGAGTCAAAACACATGCACTAAATTGAGCAATGCATGATGCAACTTTGAGTTACTCTGGTATGCACAAAATGTAATGAGATACTTACACATATACAACAGTTGTATAGAACACTAAGGCAGTCTTTGACCAGGTCATCATTCACTGTGGAGCAGAAACACGGATGTTTAACACTCTAATTGCCAGAGCAAATCATCAATTTGAAATTACTTATCATCATGTACAACGTGTTAACTTCCAAATGAAAGCGGACATATTCACATATGCAATGTCACAACTTACTATTGGGTTTTTTCTTCTGCATAGTTAATGTGGGTCTCATCAAGATCTCCACAAGCAGCTTCAGGGAAACAGAAAAATGAGTGTTCAAAATTAATGTTTTTACATCTGCAATGTCTCCGTCTCTGAGTTGTGCTACACAAGACAACTGATTATCCAGAGATAACAAGCATCACTGTCTTTGAGCCCAATCATTAGAATGCTTCAAGCACAAGAAATGTCAAACTTACATCGACTCCACCAAAGAGGTCAAAGGTGTACGTGTTGGGGAAGGTGGATTCCTGAGCGGTCTTCCTGTCCTCGGTAACAAAAGACATAGCCTCCATGGAGAGCTGGGATGATAATACCTGACAAAATACATTGTTCACAAGTAATTTACATTGCTTTGGCTTTAAAGTAAAACATTCAGTGATGAGTTGCTAAATACATTAACACCACAGCCTCATTGATGAATGGACCGGTGCTGTGTGCCTACCTTAAGAAAGCTGTGAGCATGGGAGAGGTCACTGTTGGGATGGCTGCTCTCGTAGAGCCTCTGCAACAGAGTAGGGATGCCATGCCACTTGGCTCGTTTATCTCTCTCCTGGAGCAGGCCTCCTGGGAGCTAAGACATATAAACACAGGCAACTCTAAGTAGTGCAATGTGCACAGTGAAATATGCATGGTTATTTAGGATTCAGAAGGGGTTTAAAACATCCACATTTGAGAAAAATGTACGTTATTTATGCTTTAATAAAAGGTTTCATAAAGAGGAAAGCACTGTGTGATTTAGAGTAAAAAAAGGGCATGTAATCTATAAAATGTTTGCATATGTGATCAATCAAATGTAAATATTTAACATATTATATGTGAAACCCAGTCTCTGACAACCTTCCTTCCTGGAAAACAAGTGTACGACTTTGAACACAAACAAAATGTCCTTGAGAAAAGGAAGGTTTTACATCTTCTTTTAAATTAGATTATTGTTAAGCCAAGCCTTGGCTCATATAGCAGACTACTGCAAGAAGGAGAACAGAAACCAACTTTAGCAGATTTTGATTTTATCCCTGTAATAACTGGAACTGTAGGACAAGAGAATCCTGGCCTGGCTCATAGTCAGTGGGTGCCTGTGGACCAAGGCCATAAGGTGTTGCAGGAAATTTGACCCTACAGCATACTGGATGCCAGAACAGTGACGTAAGCATAGGTGTGCTGTGTTGAGGTGCTCTCAGTCACAAAAAACATAAAGAGGGGAATTCTGAACTGTGTTTTTTAGAAAGGTCATGGAGGGTAATTTCTATACGTACCCAGTGTATTTGTTAACATTAGAAGTAATGAATGCATGCACACATGTCTGTCTGGTTGTGACAGCAATACTCACTGTTGAAACCATCTTACAAATAAAACGCTGTGACATCAGTGTGACTTCTGAGATATGCATGAAAAATTGCTGGGGCTCATTTCTGCTACGTAGGTGATCAGTGTGATAACAGCAAACAAGCCCAATTCTCCTATTACCATTTAACACCCACCCAACTGGCACTTAGATGCTTTTAAAAGCTCTGAAAATGAGTATGGCCAAAACAAGGAGCTCACAAATGTCTCAATATAGGCTAACTCTTCTCATTTAAGACATTAAATGTAATCATATGCTGACACCCTATAGCTAAAGCATCAGAGGCAATTCGCTCCAAAAACAAACCTAAACATTACCATCCATCTACTATCCTTTTCTTTTTAAATTGTCGACAAACACTGCAGCCCAATGAGCTCTAAAATCTGATTCCATACTTTAAAGGAATACTTCATTCACAAAATTACCATTTGTAAAATCAATTAGTCATGGTGCGTTACCTTGAATTTATGAAGAAAACAAAGGCCTCCAAGGAAAACAGCGAACATATTGATATGTTGATCGCTTAAGGAACGCTTTTAACAGCAAAACTACATCAAAACATCTGCTTACAAACTCTTGCACAAGTCTGATTTATCCAGTTGGTTGCTCAGTGCTTCCCAAACACATGCTTTTTCACTAAAAAACATAAATATTGGAGTCTGGCTTTTAAGAGAGCACAGACACGTTTTACTTCCACTTCAGTTTTAAATGTTAACATTTTAGCAAGAATACACTTAATTACTGACGATACAACAGGATAAATGAGACTTGGATCATACTGCACAAGTTGTGTGAGAGTTTGTAAACTGATGTTTTAATACATTTTTGCTGTTGTTACATGTGGTTCCCAATCAATCAATCAATCAATCAATCAATCAATCAATCAATCAATCCAATTTGCCATTTTTTGTGGAAGCGTGCAAGTTTTCTTCTCGAATTAAATTTAACATGACATGACTAATATCTATCAGTCATTCTGAGGGTAAAATATTCCTTTCAAACTCTCTTTCCATGAACTGTTAAACTGTGTATTAATCTAGTTTATTGTGTATATATATATGTTGGCTATATTATATTAAACTAGCACCGTTAATTTTGTGTCACGAATGGTTCCCTCTCTAAGTAACAAACTGTGCTGCATTGCATTCCCTTCTTGGGGAATGTTCCTGACCTCTTTGCAGCAGCTTTGGGCATAATAAGGATGGCTGACTCCCTGGAAAACCTTCCTGGAAATCAAAAAGCACTGACTAAAGAATAGTGTATTTTGACTGCTCAAATAACGGCAGCTGTCTCAATACTCTTAACAGTGTTAGAAAACTTGCCAAATTTTAATTTTCACGGTTATCAGGGATATTTTCAGATTTAAGGGCGGTCTGCATCATACTAACATTTCACCACTGAGACTCACTACCTTGAAAACTGCAAGTCAGCAAGGAAGGTAAAAGGCACGACACTGACTGCACAGGAATAATGGGCTTTATCAGCAGTGCAATTTAAGGGCTCAAGTCACGGGAGTGTAAGGAACACAGTGAAATCAAAGATACAGTGACTGAATGTGTCAAAATGTCAATGCAGGTGTGACGTTCATATGCAAACAGAGCCATCAAAATCAAAACAGTTCACGTCAACTAGCGCTGTATGCCAATACATCGTTCCCTGCGTGAAAATAAAAATAAACTTGCTTACGTTAACTCGTCCTAACAGCTGGTGTAGTCCATCCATTTATGGAAACGATAGTTATTGTGGTTTGTGTGTCGTTACGTAATCACCTGAGCTGTTCAGCTGGCTTAGCTAGCTGACATTACCCCGTTTGCTAACATTAGCAAACGTTTACAGCCGTTGATTACGTGATTTAAGCGTTTCCAAAATTGAACTACGGGCTCTTTAGTAACACTGACATCCTCAGTGTCTGATAAAATCAACATCACACCGTCAAACATTCAGTTCGCAGCGTTTTTATATCGTAGATATCCTGACATATAATGCTAAGCTAACGTTAGGCTAACAACAAAAGACCCACTTGAAGCGGAGCTGTTTCATACACTTGTTGTAATGCTAACGTTATATGCTCGTCAGCGAACAGATTATATTATCTTTAACTAAACGGCATCAACATTTAAGGTTTGCGTTTTTAAAATGCCCCGTAATGTTGTAGCTAGCTGTGGAGACAAAGCTGTCACAGCGGCGGCTACATATCCAGACAAGTCTCCAGGACAACGTCTTCGTTTTCAGGCTAGATTCCCAGCGCAAGTCCCTGGTCTCAGTCGACCAAGTTTCAGATGTCTTTACTATCCAAACATGCATCGTTTCTCTTACCTGTGTCCCTCGACTGAAACCCTGGCCAGTAATTTTACTAGCCGTGAACTTTGTGATGATATTGCTGTGGCAATTTCTTCGTTTTCCTGCAGTACAGGGGGACTCGGACCCCAGAAGCGTCGCCATTATTTCTTCTTCCTGAACTGAACTGTTGGGCAGGAAGTGGAAGGCTTTGATGAATTATTGTGGGTAATTAAGCGGCATCTGCTGGCAGAGGAGCACAACTCTACAACTGTCAAATGGCTTCAATGATATTTATATATGATATTTTGTCTTGTACAAATGTGTTGCTACCCGTCTTGGTACATTTTTTAAATTATATAAAAAAAAATTGTTTGTTTGTTTTTTTGTTGTTTTGTTTGTTTGTTTGTTTGTTTTCAAGAAATACCGCAACACCTAGTACCCATTATGCAGAATAATATGACATTATCTTTATAAATTGCAAAAGTCTCTCTGTATGTGCTCAGCAGACATCTTGGTAATCGACTTTCAAAATATTTAAGTGTGCCCAAATTTTATTTAAAAAATAAATTAAAAAAAAGAAAAGAAAGAGCAAAAAAACTCTGTATTTTCCCCTTTGTGGCGGAAGTCAGTTTTTCCATGGCTAAACAGCAAACAAAAGGCCACCTATAGGTGACTCAGTGTTTTTCCGGGTGGTTGAAATACAGTATAAAGTGGTCATCTTTTTATTTGCACCTGAAAGTCTTAATTCATCAGTCCAAGTACCAGAGGGCAGACAGGCAGCCAGGTAGAGATAATAATAATAGAATTTTTTTTTTAAATTTTGGGGCTCCAAAGGCAATGAAATAATTGGGGGCGGCATGGTGCTGTAGTGGTTAGCACTGTCGCCCCACAGCAAGGGGGTTCCTGGTTCAAGTCCAAGAGGGAGCCCCTCTGTGTGGAGTCTGCATGTTCTCCCAGGTACTCCAGCTTCCTCCCACATTCCAAAGACATGCAGGTTGGGGATAGGTTAATTGGTGACTCTAAATTGTCTGTCTCTAGCCTTGCGATAGCCTGGCAACACTGACACCCTGCCTCTCGCCCAGTGTCAGCTGGGATAGGCACCTGCCCCCAGCCCCCCGTGACCCCCAAGAGGATGAGACCAAAAATTTGATCATTCTGTAAGTGATTGGCTAGAGTGAACATTTCCTTACTGAGACCAAAAAATCGTACCCTCGTAAGCCTCTCCTACACAAACTTGGACCCTCCTGAGGGTTCGTGAGCCATGTTCGGCCATGGTTGGATAAATCAGCCATGGTTGGATTACAATAGCCACGACTGGACAATTCAACTATGGTTGGATAACACAGTTGCGGTTGGACTATTCAGCCATGGTTGGATAACAGCCATAGTTGGATAAATAGGGTAGCTCCGCCCACTCTAGACTCCCAGACCCAAAATTTTATCATTCTGTAAGTGACCTATCTAGGGTGAACATCTCCTGTTACTCTTGTTCTTTCAATCGAGACCAAAAAGTCAGATACTCATGAGCCTCTCCTACACAACCTTGGACCCTCCTGAAGGTTCGTGAGTCGTGGTCAGCCATGGTTGGATAAAATAGCTATGGTCAGATATATCAGCCATGGTTGGATTACTATAGCCATGGTTGAACGATTCAGCCATGATTGGATAAAAGAGACGCAGTTGGACGATTTAGCAACTGTTGGATAAATAGGGTAGCTCCGCCCACTCTAAAACCTTCAGACACCATCTGCTCTAATGCTCTGTGTGAGCTAATTTTTAAACCTTTAAAAAAGACATAAAACAGACACTTTTATTTTTTCATTTTTACTCGTTTGAATATGTCAACAAGTTACAAACTCAAGAAAACATTTGGTTGAATATATAAACTATATATGACTAAAAAACATTCTATTTTGGGTGGGGGCTGAATATGCCATTATGTTAAAACCTCAAGAAATGAAGTTACAAACTGATTACATGATTAAAAAACATTTGGTTAAATACATTTGGTTAAAGTTTTTTTGATTTTTTTTTTTAAGTTACAAACTCTAGAAAGCAGGATATATTTGATTACATGATTAAAAACTTTTTAAAAATAAAAAAAATCCCTACAAACTCAAGAAAACTGGTTACAAATTGATTACATGATTTAAAAAAGTCAATATTAAGAGAGTCTGAATATTCTGACAAGGTAAAAAAAAAACCTTACAACTTATATGTTGTTTTGTGTTTTGTTTTTTTACAGGATTTTTTGTTTGTTTTCCAAAATCATAATTCACAAAGGTAATAATAAATCTGTTAATTTTGTCTTAATAAGCTACAGTATAACAGTCACCGAGGATCTGCAGCTGGTTGATTTTCATAGGATCCTGTCCAGTCAGATTTTCGTACACATCGGAGAGAGTGGCGTAGATTTTCTTGACCGATCTCAACTCATGCAGGAGAGTCCCTTTCACAACCTGGACTCTGAAATCGTTCATGAGGACGTGGTGGCTAATCAGCAGACACTAAATGGAAGGAATAAAGCGAGGGGTTATGAGTCTTTTCATCAAACGGTGATAGTGTTCCAGGAAAAAAATCGTCCTCCAACACTTCCCAGCATTCATGCTGTCTAGGATGACTGATCTTACACCCATAGCACTGATCGATGCAGTAGTTGCGAATAGTCAGGTTGAGTAGATGATAAATGAAAGATTTTATGGTATCAACAGCCCAATCAGGCATCAGTCCGTCAACACTGTCCTCATTTTTGTCCTCCTCAATTTTCTCCTCCTCCTCCTCGGAACAAGGGGGTACCTCGGGCACTGTCTACTTGTCCTCCTTGGCCTCGTCAGAAGTCAGCCGCTCCTCATATGGAGTATGGAATTTAGAGTCCATTGAGCAGATATAGGTGAAGTTGGAAAAAGAAGAAGATGGGAAGAGTGAACGAGGACTGAGGAAGTACTTCAATCTTGTGCTGCGCATCTCAAAAACTGCATTGGCAACAACTGCATTCTTGATAATACCTGAAGGGAGGTGTGGCTTAGAAGTGGGAGTTTTTTTTCCCAGAGGGGAGGCATGGTTTGAAACTGTGAGATTTTTCCCTGAAGGGAGGCGTGGGAATTTTTTCTGTTTTTTTCCCAGAGGAAAAAAAAGCTCAAAAGTTTAGAAATGTTCTCACCACCATCGATGTTCTCCAGTTGCGGCAGCTCTGGAAAAGGTTTGAAATCCTCTCCCTTATCTCCAGCATCCTGTCGAGCCATTCCGTCGCAGGTATGACTAAGTCAGTGCGGAATAACCCACAGTCAGGATTAAGTTTCTCCAAAACAAAAATGTCGACGGAGCTCTTCCCTTCCCAATTTTCTGAACGCAGACTGGCATGAGTCATCCATTTGCCTGAGACTGTGGTTCTGGATTGCCATAATGCCCCTAAGATGATTTTCATCTTAGACAACTCATTGTCGTCAAACTGAATACCCATTCTTGGACGCTTTTCCTGAGGAGGACTCTCACTCTCACTCTCACTCTCACTCTCACTATGCACTCTCTTCCGGTTCTCCTCTTTCTCCTCCTCCTCCTCCTCCTCCTCCTTATCCTCCTCTTCCTCTGAACAATACCCTGTCTCAGACGTCGTCGCATCAACATCCTCGTTCTCTTTATCAGATGTGCCCTCTTTATTAGGCTTCTCTGCATTCACATCTTTGTTATTCATAGGAATCGCCATCCTTAACATCATCGTCATCATTCCCCAATCCTCGGTGGTCAACACCGTCATGTTGGTTGAGGGACTCAGACTTTCCCCATCACCCAGCTGATACAAACACAGTTCGCCCACCTCGTACTTGAACACATAACCCCAGGATCCAGACATCCATGGTTGTAGAGACCATTCTTCATGCAGAGTTCCTAACGGCGGCATCTGGGTACGGCACAGATACATCAGGCAGCTCTAAGCGCCTGGTACCTCGGTAGCGTCTTGATAGATTATTACAGGCGTCTGACTGAGCATTGATGAGGACCAGTTGTCAGGCGAGTCTTCCTCTCTCTTCATCTCTTCTTCTTCATCCAACAGTTTAGAAACCGCGTTGTCCACGCGAACCGATTCCAACATTTTTGGATCCATGCTGAGTACAAAGTAGAATGAAAGAATTAAAAACAACCCATTTTTATCCACTTCTTAACACCTCCAACCACCTCCCACTGTTCTCATAGGCTCACCCTTAACCCCCCCCTCCCCTCTCATTGATTCATCTCATGGTTGGATAAAACAGCTGCGGTTGGACGATTCAGCCACGGTTGGATAAAATAGCCACGGTTGGATAAATAGGGTGGCTCTGTCCACTCTAGACTCCCAGACCTAAAATTTTATCATTCTGTATGTGACCAAGCTAGGGTGAACATCTCCTATTGCTCTTGTTGAGAATTTTCAACTCTTGAAGTTCTTTCAATCGAGACCAAAGAGTCAGACAGTCGTCAGCCTCTCCTACACAACCCTGGACCCTCCTGAGGGTTTGTGAGCCATGGTTGGCCATGGTTGGATGATTCAGCCATGGTTGGATAAAACGGCTGCGGTTGGATAACAGCCACGGTTGGATAAATAGGGTAGCACCGCCCACTCTAGATTCCCAGACCTAAAATTTTATCATTCTTTAAGTGACCAAGTTAGGGTGAATATCTTCTGTTACCCTTGTTGAAAATGTTCAACTCTTTAAGTTCTTTCAGTCGAGACCAAAAAGTCGGACCCTCTTGAGCTTCTCCTACACAACCTTGGACCCTCCTGAGGGTTCGTGAGCCGTGATCGGCCATGGTTGTGTGGCGAGCGTAGGGGGATTTACAAATACAATGATCTAATATATGTTCATATGGTTGCCTGACAACGCTACTTTGGGCATTTCACCCAAAGTATTAGCTACCATTTTTATTAGTAAGACACACAGGTTCATTTTACTCAGAGGCAAGAGACGTGGTTCCAAATCTTAAAAAAAAAAAAAAAAAAGTACACTTAATTACAAAAAAATGTATATATGTTCTTTTAAAAACCAAAAAAAACCCAAAAACACCATTCATACCGGAATGGAAGAAAGGGGACCTTGTCAGGAGCTGAGGCCCACTAGTGGGACAGGAGCTAGTGAGGGGATGGAGATCCAACACATAAAAATATTTGAAAAAATATATATATGTAAATCACCCAGGCACACGTGACAGTCACACACATACTTTATGAAATCACCCACGATCCCAGGGGAGACACAGCACACAGAAGTGGGGAAACCTCCACCCAGGTCACCAGTACCACCACCACCGGCCTGCAGCAAATGAAAAGGGAATAAAACAAAACGGAATTACAGCAGATATTAGTTAACCAAAATATTATGGGTTGCCGTTTGTAAAGTGGCTCACACTGAAATTAACAGCAACATTTTGCCACATTTAGCTTCAAACGTTTAAAAAAGTGGTGTGAATTTTTTAAAGTCACTTTTTACCACATTACCAAAAACTTAGTACAAGTCAAATAAAATTTCCCCAAACATGGTTTCTGTCATTTTGGGTAGTTCTTATCACGCTGATGTATGTTTAAGTGTTCATTTTCTCCTATTAGTTTGGTTTTAATCCGTTATTTGATGCTATAATCACAGTCTGACCACCGGGGCTTTTATTTTGGTACTTCCGGCGACTGGCATTGTGGATTTGCATATTAGCTAAATATTTAGTTTCTCCAAGCACATTTGGATTTAACATTTAGATTTAGATTTAGATTTAACATTTAGATTTAGATTCAATATTTAGGTTTAACATTTAACATTTAGATTTAGATTCAATATTTAAGTTTAACATTTAGATTTAGATTTAGATTTAACATTTAGATTAACGTTTAGGTTTAACATTTAAAATTTAGATTTAGATTTAACATTTAGGTTTAACATTTAATATTTAGATTTAACTGTGACATTATATTTAACATATTTAAAATATTGCTGTAAATGTGGTAAAAATTGACTTTAAAAAATTCACACCACTTTTTTAAACGTTGTTTTAAGCTAAATGTAGCAAAATGTTGCTGTTAATATCAGTGTGAGCCACTTTACAAACGACGCCCCATAAAATATAAGACAAAATATACAAACCGAGTTAATATGGGCAGGTGACAACAACAAGCTAAACAAAAATAACTGCCCAAAAACAAAAAGATGAATAAACAAAGTAAGGAAACAAAAACGCTTGCCCCAAACAGATATCTAAGTTACACAAAGAAATCAAATTAATCAAAACCAACTATTGAAATTAAATGGGAAGTTAAGGGGACTGATCCAAATTTGTTAACAAAATAAACAAAGATAAGGGAGTAACTCCACACAATCACACGATTAAAATAAGGGAATTAAACCCAGGTAACAGGTAGTGTCTGCAGTCCACTGGGCGGCCAAGCTGGCTGTAGCCAAAGCGGCAAGGCAGACAAACCACAGCCAGCCCGAGCCGAACAGCAGCGCCACCAAGCAGTACACAGCAATACAGAGCCGGGACACAGCCGGGTACAAAACGAGAGAAAATGGAGCAGCAGCCAATCAGCTGGTGGTGACGTCTCGTCCTTGGCCAGCGGATGAGCATTTCCTGGTTGTAGAGTCTAATGTGTACAAGAAGACGAAGGGAGAGAGGAACCTACTCGACTACCGGCATTCATCAATGCAAAACGAGGCCAGAGGGGAGATCGGAGCACGGTTAACTCTGTCGCTGTTCTCTTAAGATAACACACCTCTGGTCCAGGAGTGACTGCACTTATATCCAGCCGCCCCGATGATCAGTCGGATATTTCAGCCGGCCGGTTGGATATATCAGCCATGGCCGGTTGGATATTTCAGCCATGGCCGGTTGGATATTTCAGCCATGGCCGGTTGGATATATCAGCCATGGCCGGTTGGATATTTCAGCCATGGCCGGTTGGATATATCAGCCATGGCCGGTTGGATATATCAGCCATGGCCGGTTGGATAAACAGGGAAGCTCCGCCCACTATAGACTCCCAGACCTAAACCTTGATCATTCTCTAAGTGACTGAGCTAGGGTGAACATCTCCTGTTACTCTTGCTGAAATTTTCAACTCTTAAAGATCTTTGACTGGTGGTTCTAGACCAGCTTCAGAGGGGGGCCAGGCTGGGGCCAGTTGCTTTGTTAGAGAGGCACATTCTATGTGAGAAAAAAAAAAAGACAAAGACAAAGACAGCCTTCAAGTATTTCAAATTTTACTGCAGAATTTAAATCAACTCAGTTACAGTCACTTGTTTCAGATACAATATGTTTTTTCAGTATTTTATTTAAAAAATATAACTCTACTTTGCTGAAAATAGAGCTCATGCTAAAGTTACAGTACACTTTCAGCTGCAACACTATGTGACTCAAACAGTACCAGCTCCACTGTAAAAGTGGGACCCTGTATCCCAGTCTGTATGTTTGTAAAATTCTATATTACAGTAGCTGTATTCTGCGGTTTATGTGATTTTTGGCAAACCGATCAAAAAATAGGTCAAGATTCAAAGCCTTTGCCCTCCTAGACTCAATACTTAGTACACCCAGATTGCTTTATCTCCCATCAGTTATGTTTGACCCAAGGAAAGTTTTCACCAGCTTTAGGGTAGAAAAACTAACCCTAACCCTAACCCGCTCACAAGACACAGTACTCACTGGGATTGCAACTGGTTTTTTGCAGAGTCTGAAAAATGCTTCTTGATACAGCTCAATAAACAGTATCAGATCCACTACAGTAGAGGGTCTTTGCAACCCCGTCTGTAATTTCCTTTCTAAAATGCGACCAAACTGATGCAGTTCGTGCCCCAAGTCATCAACATTTGAATCATACAATCGAGCAAATGAAAACAGCGTTGTCTCATTCAGAAATACATCACTTTGGGGATTTAGAGCTTGGATGCTATTCATAATGTCACAGCTTGTCTTTGAAAATCATTTGTTGAGCTCATTGAGCATCTGATCAATGACAGGGTAATAAAAAGGCTGTCTTTATCTTGTTCTGACTCTCTCTGACCAACACTAGTCAGAACACAATATTCACCAAGTTTACAGCTTAGCTTTTTTGGATGTTTTATTGCTGCCTGTACTGCAGAATCACATTGCTCAGGAATGTTCAACACTTCATTCCACAAGTTATCAAAAAATGACTTCTGCCTGAAGTCATTCAATGTCTGAACCAAAGCATTAACTAAATCAACAGCTCTTGAAATATCAAGTGATGATGACTGTGGCATGTCAGACAACAGTTTTGTTTCACCAAACACTTTACAGAGGATCACAAGATGCACTATGAAAGCAAAGTCTATCTGTGCCAGTTGACCTCGGGCCTCAATAGATCTTTCACCTTTGTGATCTTGAGCTATCTCTTGCACCACTCACTTAAGTGCAGGTAATGTATCCACAATGCTTCGCAGCGATATAAATCGTCACGCCCGTTGTGTGTCACTCATTTGCTGTAGTTCTCTTGGTGCAGCTTCATACATGTCTTTTTGTATCGCTAGCCATTTGGGTCGGACATATGATCCACAAGTGAACACATACAGTTTTTCTAGCAATGACAAGAATTCCTCTGCGTCTGGGACAGCTTTGACTGTATCTACTAAAACTAAATTAAGACAGTGGGCATTGCAATGGATGTAAAAGGCATATTTTGAGCAGCACTATCGCATGCCTGGCCATCAAGATTGTTTTTGTATTCTAGACCATGACTCCAATATGTGGATTATTTTCTCACTAAGCCCGTCTGCATCTAGCCTCTCAGCAGATTCAAAATGGAGAAAACTTTCATTAATTGCTCCATTGTAATAGTATCTGAGTACTATTGAAATGTGCTCCTTTTTTTTCTTTTACATCTTTTGTTTCATCTGCTATGATGCTAAAGACTCCACTGCTTTTTACTTCTTCTGTAATTTCATGTTGAACCATGTCTGCCAGGCAATCCAGAATCTCATTCTGAATGATTTTACTTGTGTACCTTATTTTATGAATAGATGTCAACCTTTACTTCACAGTGTTGTCATGGTTAGCAATTGTTTCTAGAATTGCCATAAAGTTGCCTTCATTATCTGAGGCAGCAGACTCATTGTGTCCTCTTTGAGCAATGTTCTGAGTGGCAGTAAGTAGTAGCAATTCTCCTATTGTCCTTGTTCAGGGCATTTGCCAGTGTTGCATTAGTAGTTACACTTGTTTGATAGTCCCTCCATGCTTGTTTGTGCCTCTCAGACTTGACATGGATTGAAAAACTGTATATTGCCTTCTTCCACTTCTTGTATCCAGATGGTGCATCAAATACAGTGTCTGTGGTTTTAGGTTGGCTAAAATGTCTGCAAGCATAACAATATGCAGATACTGATTGACACGCCGCCTTAAAACTTCTCCTACGGTCCCCCGTCAAGGTCCGTGGAAAGATTTTTAGGTTTGGCTGCATTGGCGGGTCCTCCCTGGTCTTGCTGATATCTGAGGGAAATGTTCAGCAAAAAAACAAAAACAAAAGAAGATTAATGCACATATATAATGGCCAGAATAAAACACTATTTGGATTTCTATTATCCTATTGATAAATAAGTCCAATTCAAGTTAATCTCAATTATAAAACAACTAACTTCTACAAAACATTAGTTGCACTGCTGTGAGAGAAAGCTAGCATTTTTTCAGCACAACAAACCTGATGGTCCATTGCTTGTGGATGCACTTGTATCTTCTGCCTGCATCACCCTCAGCCACAACATCAGAATCCATCTCTTCTTCCTGATCAAAATCAGTCTCTCCCTGTACATCTCTTCTTCTACTCAGTCCTCTGTCCTTCCCTTAGTTTCCACTTCCTACTTTTCCTCTTCTGTTCCCTCAACATCTGGACCATCTGGCTTTGTCTCACGCTCTTTCTCGGTTTTACATTGGGGGGCGAAATAGGACATGTTGTCCTATGTTGAATGAATGTGTTTTGTTATCGTCTGTGCTTACTATTTAAAACAACAAAGTAAAACTGATAGAGATGGATTTATAGCATAACATCTACTCAGGCTAGCCGTTACTAGATTTAGAAAATTACTTCCATACGCTATCATAAAACTTCCAACACTTATTAATTCAAGCAAACGGTTGTACGGTGGCTGTCACTGTCACTGTTACACAAATTAGCCTATAAATTAGCCTACATAAAAAGTTGCTTACCGTTAATTCTCCTCTGTGGTCTGGCTGCGTTTTCTATCGCTCCGAGCAAGCGGTTAGAAATCCGCTTCAGCCTGCCACTGGCGGTGTATCGCTCTATAGGATCCAACTGGAAACTTGAGCCAAAGTTTGGTTCCGCATCTCTCGTTAGGGTCAAATTATCGCAAAAAAATCTATATATTTATTAATGACGTAGCCTCTTCCTTTTGAGGGGAGGCACAGGGGGTCCAAGCTTGCTCTCAGGGGGGGACATGGACGACGGTTGGGATAAAACAGCCACAGACAGTTGGACGATTCAGCCACGGTTGGATAAATCGGGCAGCTCCGCCCACTCTAGACTCTCAGACCTAAAATTTGATCATTCTGTAAGTGACTGAGCTAGGGTGAACATCCCCTGTTACTCTTGTTGAAAAAAGGAGTAACACTCTCTGTTGCTCTGGACTGTTGACCCTAAGTACTTAAAATCCTCCACTTTCTTTATATCTACTCCCTGTAACCTCACCTCCACTTGGGTCCTTCTCATTCACACACATGTACTTGTATTCTGTCCTGCTACGGCTAACCTTCATTCCTCTCCTTTCCAGAGCATACATCCACCTCTCTAGATTTTCCTCCACCTGCTCCCTGCTCTCACTACAGATCACAACCTGAAAGTCTTAATTCATCAGCCCAAGGATAAATGCCTGAGGACAGACAGGCAGCCCGGTAGAGATAATATCAGATATAGTTTGTATGCCATTGCAGATTTTTTTTTTTTTTTTCAATTTTGGGGCTCCAAAGGCAATGAAATGATTATAGGTTACATTTAATAGGCTGCATCTGGAGTCTTTACCTCGGCCAGGTCTCTCTTGTAAAAAAAGATTTTTAATCTCAATGGACTTCCTGGTTAAATAAAGGTTAAATAAATGAAAAATAAATATTTGTTTTTCAGGTTGGTGAGGCAGGAAACTCCTCTTTCACAAAGATAAGTTGGTGCAAAAGGCATGAAAAAAAACTGGGGCTACATAAATCAGGACTATTCCCATAAAAGTGATGTAGCAGGGATGGAGTTATGCCCTAACATTTAAATTGTATTAATTTAAATATAATGTTGATAGTCTGCACTTATACAAACGGGAAAGGTTTTCAGTGTGTCAGAGTATAGTTTTTACTCTCAATGAGGCCTTTCCTGGGTAAAATAATAATAGTGATAATAATAATAATATAAACATGCACTGTATGGATATAATGATACTAAATAAAACAGGCAAAACTCACTTGTGTTTAGATGATTATATTTATGTGCTCATTTATCACGTAGCAAATATATTTTATTGGATTCCAATAACATAACAATGACAACAATCATATTCCAATATAATTAACATATTTCACATTGTATTCAAACAGAAATCGGTTATAAATTAAGAGAAACATTCAACTTTCGAGATCAAATGAGAACAAAATGTCTCACTGACTCATATTTTCACCGCACTCCTCTGCTGTGTGCCTCCTCTTGCTGGCATACAGTATGTCACAGCATACATTGTAGTGTCTCAGCCCTCCTGCCACGTCAGGGCGGTCTGCACAGACCAGACCAGACGTGCAGATGACTTCCTCTGGCTTGCCCAAACTGCAGAGGTGACAGGACAGTATCTGACTTCACTCTGTCTTTCTGATGTCTTTCTCACAGACTGATCCACTGCCTCGCCTCAAGTGTCCCAGCTGTGATCGTTGCCCTCTGTCATTTGGAGGTAGGAGGTGATGGCCTCCCTCAGTCCCTCGCTCACAAGGGAGTTGTCTGACTCTGTTCTCTTCCTCTTGAAGATCATTGACCTGGAGGATGCAGAAATGGATTTGCAAAGACTTGGAAGAGTAAAGTGCTCATGGTATTGTCAAAAAATGCTACAATTTTACTTTTGCCACAATGTCCCAAACATGGATGGGCTATTTTTAGGTGATGTGCACACATGGACAGAAGTTGCACTGCATCAAATCATCATAATCTATTGTAGGGTGTGGGGTGGGTTTACCAAATGTTAGTGCTCATTTCCAGCTCTACACTCACACATGACCCACAATCAAATGTGGCAGATATCAAGTACAACCACAGTCTTATCTCTCTGTTCTCAATTCTCACTCAGTTTATTCAGCACTGTCTCACAAATGAAAAGTGAAGAGTGGAATAATCTTTCTGACAGTGTCAACCACAACTGAAATAATAAGCTTCACAAAGATTTATCACTTGGTTTCTAACCATGACGCCACCAGGTGGTCGTGCTCTACTGTAATAGAGTGACATCTTGTGGCAGTCATCAGTAAAAGCAAGGCTACAGAGCGTCTGCCACACCTGCTAATGTCCTTCCAGTTGATAGTAGGCCTCCTGATAGTTGTGGGTACAGGCCTGGCCTCTCTGGCGTTGTCGAGACCCTGGATAAAGCAAGGCCCCATCAGCCGACAGCACAATCCACCTACAGACTCTGGAAGAGGAGGCAACATTTTAATATCACTCTTTTAGAGTCGTCTCTGGTACGTTCAGGCAAGAAAACAGCTTTACGTCCTCAGTGCAGACCTGAATAGTGTTCCACCAGGTGGTGCAGGGAGGGGAAGGTGACCCCTGGAGATATGTAGACCCAGCCATTTTGGAGCTGAGAGATGCGGTAGTGCTTTACACTGTCCAGGTATGACGGGTTGGTCCTCCTCAGGACAGACAGCGAGTAACAACCTGGGCACAAAAAAAGCAGCGGCTAAACTACCAGCTCTTCATTCTTAATTTACTCCAGCACTTATTCATATTCCTTATCCTTCCTAAACCATAATTGTTCCTATGGCACACTGAGCTATTTTCATGATCTGACTCGTATACTGCCACCTCTGCAAGAAAGTTCTTTTAATAGTGGAAACTACATTAGAAACAATGAAAATGATCCACTTACACCCACCACACATATTAATATTTAAAAGCTAATTTTAGATAGTGCCCTAACAGGACCTACCAGGCACAGGTCCAAGGGCCCAAAATGTCAGGGCCCCCCTGGCCTTCACTTACAAAATGTCAGATGTCAAATTGACACATACCAGTCAGAAAGAGACTCAAAATGACTATGCAGAGATGCAAAGGAACCACAAACCCAAATGACAACAAAATATATGCTAAACAACCACAAAGAGACACAAAGTAACTACAAAGAGACAAAAAATGACCAAAGAAGAAGAAAATTACCTTAAAGAGACATAGAATTACCTGAGTAAGAGACAAAACTACCTGAAGGAGACCCACATGACGACAAAAAGACTCAAAACAGCTGCAAAGAGACACAAAATGACCAAAAAAGACACAAAATTATCTCATAGAGACATAAAATTACCCCAATAAGACACAAAACTACCTAAAGGAAACCCAGATGGCTACAAAATAGACTTGAAACAATCACAAAGAGGCAAAAACTGACCAAAGAGACACAAAATGACCTCAAGACAACACAAAACTACCTCAAAGAGACCCAAATGTCTACAAAATGGACTCTAAACAACCACAAGGACATACAAAATGACCATAAAAGATGCACAATTATTTCAGAGAAGACAAAAATAACATAACAATTACTAGGAGAAGCAAAACCACCACAAAGATTGAGTCTCTTGCTCCTATGGAGGAGAGGTGGTGGGGCACTTTGCATATCTGTGCCCAGGGGCTCATGTCTCATTCTGCCCATGCCATAGGTTTGGGGTCCTCCCCCAGGAAATTTTGAGCATCAAATACTTCATTTCCTGCACTCTGGTGAAATTTTAAGCACCCATATGTACCTTTCTGTATCTGTATTTATGGCAGAGAGATGTCTCAGCTGCTTTCATGTCCTCATTGGGGGAAACAAATGCTCACGTTATACATATTCAGGAGGGACATGTCCCTTGTGTTTTCCCCTAAATGTACACCTATACTGGTGCCACAGTGTTTGGCCTGGACTGAATATGTATCTACTGCAGCTCACAGTGGGGAAAAAACAGACAACCCTCTCACCTCTGTTTGTCTCTGACTCTCGGATCAAGAAGGCTCCACTCTGGTTATGCGGCTGCATGAGCAGCTCCACTGCTTTGTACCTGCTGATGCCTGTGAACAGCCACCTGAACAGAGAGGAGACACAATGGGACAATAAGACTGTGCTGTCATGAAGACAAAAAGAATATTTTGCTGTTGTTTTCAGTTTTGGAAAATCCGCTGCAACAGTATGAAAATAATCCCCCGCTGGAGGAGGACTGAAAGTAAAGGAGGCAGAGGCTGATGTCATGTCATCAGAGAGAACAAAAGTCTTGTTCCAAACTGTCTCCACTGAGGTAAAGGTCACCTATACAGACTCCTCCCACCTGTCAGGGGACTCCCCGCCTTCATTTCACTCCTCTGCTGTCTCTGTCACACACACACACACACACACACACACACACACAGTAATGAGACACGTGTCCTCACGACAGTGACCCACCTGTGTGTCACCTTGGCGGTGTAGTTGGTGGGAACGTAGCTCTCATGGCCTGTGGTTGTGGATCTCACTGTCATAAAATCACCGTCACTGTTGGAGAAAACAAGCAGTCATGACTAACTGTGTCTGTCTGGGTGAAAACAAGGGCAGAGGTGAAACTTTAGGAACCATGTCACGCACTCTGATATGATTGTGAGTCGTTCCCCGATGCACATTGTCAACTCTGTATGCTCAAGGGACGGGTAGTCACAGAGGGACACAATGATGCTGTCCTCGGGGGCTGCAGAGAAAAAGACGGAGGTACATATCATAAACCAAGCTCAGTTTGTTACATTTTTATTTTGTGTGTGCAGACGTTTCTGGAATATAACCTACTTGGTGATTCAGGTTCAGGTGGATTTTCTAGGATTGTCAGGTTCGATCGACACCTGATGGGACAGGTCCCCATGTTCTCCGGCTTCTGGCTGAGCTGAAATAGCACTTGTGCCTGGAAAAAAAAAAAACAGAAACATGAGCATAATTGGAAAACAGTCCGTCAATAACCTCCACATTCATGATTTAATTATCCCCCCTAGTTATCACATTATGACTGCAGGTACTGCACACTGTTGTAACCTGGCAACAAAACCTGTGAAACAGGAAGGCGGGCTCACCACAACAAGAGGTACTGATATCCTGTGTTACATTTCCAGGCAGCGTGTTTGCCAGGAATTAAATCTACCTCACATGAGAGTGAGAGATTTTTAAAAAAATTAATAGATGAGACTTTAATTAGAATCAGGATCAGGTTGAAATGTAATGTAGTAGCTTTTCACTTAGAGGAAAATTGCTTTGGTTTTTGGCGCAAAGATAAAGCGTACAATAAACATGTTAGGAGGAAATAAAAAAGAAGGCAAAGTACTACAAAAGATACAATAAAAATATGACAAAGATAGTTTTAAAAATTACTATAGCATAAAAAATATGTTCAATATAGCTGTTTCAAAGACCTGTGCAGTTTTGTGCATCATGTGCAAAACTATTAATCAGGGGATCTGCAAATAAAATAAAATAAACAGTTTCAACAGTGACTGATTTCTCCATTATTTTGCAGTGCATGGTTTTTGCTAAGTGGGAAATAATTAATATTTCATATCATACAAGTAATCAGGTGATAAGTTTACTAATTTCCTGGATGTAAAACTCAAGTTATTCAACAAAAAGACAGAAAGAGCTTAAGTTCAACAAAAGACCATCACCAGAGGAAGTAACATACTCACCTCTTTCAATTTCTGTAGAAAAAATATTTGTCCAAATTTATATTCCACGACCTTGTCAGGTCAGCTGGTAAATTCCAAATCTCCTTAATGGAAAAATGCTTGTCTGCCTCCAACACACACACACACACACACACTCTGTTATATGTGTCTGAGCTCAGGTTCCCAGTCAGGCGTGTTGATCAATCACTCCTCTGCGCTGTTCCCATGAAGACGGCTGTGTTTTCGCAGCTGTTCATAGCGGTGGCTGACTGAAGAGGCGAGGCGTCCTTCGCGGCCTTTATGTGTGTCACCCTGCTGCAGCTTCCTGTGACGCTCAAGACCTTGACATCCTGACTCAGATCAGCTCTTGTTGATCTCTCGGGTGCAGAATGTTTTCAAGGGGGGCCAGAAGTTCATCACTTGTTTAAGGAATGACCTGCGTGTCTTCGTAAGCAGCGTGCACAAATATGCAACATGTGATGCAGTGTGGTGGGCTGAGGCAGTGACATCACAGAGACACTTTGTGTAAATTAGGCCGATACAGGCTAGATCTTATCTGCCTTTAGATTTTGCAGCTGAACTGTGATGTCTGGTTAATGGAAAGCGTTGACCACATTTTCCCTGTCAGCCCAGTGCTCCCATAATCTCAGCCATGTGAAAATATTGCCACTGATGTTGACTTCAGATAAGCTTACAGAGACACGACAAAGCTTCCACTGCCAGCCTACTCCTGCCCTGATTTACCAGCAGTCATAAGTGCATTTATCATGCTGACACTGTGAGTCAAAACCTCACAGTGGAGCAACATGACTGGGTATAAGAGCATTTTGTTCTCATAAATCTTTTAGGTGTACAAAAGGTCAAAGAAAATTAAGGGTGGGATTTGAAATTAATAATTTATTAAGTGCATCGCCTTGAGCAAGACATATTAATTTATGTACATCAGAGATGGTAGAAATGATTTGAATTGTTGGTTTCAGTCTCTGCTGATATAATCATGCTCACAGATGCTATTAAGATAAGGTCACAAAATGTTCTCTGATCTCTTACTTACTCATAATAAGTGTGAGAACTGCACTGAGTTTCTTAAGAAGCAAAAGAATAACTCTAATATGGATGGAAAAAATAAAACAATCTTCACCAAAACCAGGGTCAGATTAGGGCTGTTGTCACTGAGAACTGCATGTTAGCGCAGATGGAAAGAACGTTTTATCAAAAGATTGAATCATTGCACATCGGCATGTGGGATATCTCTCTCAAATGGTTTTCTAAACTGGTTCACCACATTGTGTACATTTCCTGTTTGTGTGTTTTCTCACCCCTGATGATATAAATAATTTTGTTCTGATTGCAATTAAATCGTTTGGATTTAGTGCTCAGGGCACATTCAGCAAGATTTCCGTGCGTCCTGCCAGCTGCCCGTTACATAGACATTGATTCAGTGCTGTCAGGTGGTGTAAAAGGGGCTGTAGACTCACTCCACCATATTGCTCTGACTGTGATGATCACTCACTGATGAAGACATTTAGATTGACAGCACTGCCAAAACTAGAGGTGGTACCCTTACTACTGACCAACCCTGTTAGCTTTAGATCTTTGGATGATTTTTTTCCATATGTTTGAATTTTAAAAAAATAAAAAATAAATGAGTAAATAAATACACGGTGGTGTGGTGGTTAGCACTGTCGCCTCACAGCAAGAGGGTTCCTGGTTCGATCCCAGGAGAGAGCCCCTCTGTGCGGAGTTTGCATGTTCTCCCAGCATTGGCGTGGGTTTTCTCCGGGTACTCCAGCTTCCTCCCACAGTCCAAGGACATGCAGGTTAATTGGTGACTCTAAATTGAACTGAATGGTTGTCTGTCTCTATGTGTCAGCCCTGTGATAGTCTGGCGACCTGTCCAGGATGTACCCTGCCTCTTGCCCAATGACAGCTGGGATAGGCTCCAGCCCCCCTGCGACCCTCAAGAGGATAAGTGGCTACAAAAATGGATGGATGGATGGATGGATGGATGGGGATTTGGCACATGACCAGTCATTGTTTCAACATTAAAACATTTAATTCTTATGGTTATAAAAAGGTTAATAACAGCATTGAAATTTCCGAAAGATCTGTTTCAACGTTGAGACATTTTGAAACAAGGTTTTGAGTTTATGAAACATCGACGTTGATTCATCTTTCAATATCAAAACATACTTCAACAGTGATTCAGCCATGGTGTATGACGTTAATTGGACAGTGAGTAAACATCAGAATGTCAGCTGGGTGGATCAATGTATTGACTCAACGATCCAACGTCATCGCTGCAACGTGAAAACATGGATACATATTGTCATCTCAAGGTACATTTTTTTTAATTTGAAATTTCCATGGCACGTCTGTGTCACCATTTCTGTCAGCGCACACCTCCTTCATAAACATTCAAACAGTGTTAGCAGTTTAGCAGCAGGCAGATCATGTTAAGCAGCCAGGAGAAAGACCATGAGAATATATACTGATATTGCAGGCCCCTGAACTGAATCAAATCAAAATTGAACCATCGCAGACTTTGATGTCAGAATTTGTCTAGCATAGTCCAAATGTATCATACTGTGATGACACTTGTGACTTACACCCCTAATTCATGCTAGGGTTGTTGCATCACACTCTACAGATACCATCTCCACTCCTGCATGTCCTCAGTGAGAGATTAATTTGTTTTTGCCATCAGTTGAGGAAAACCATATCGCTGCACCACCCAGCATGATAAGAGAAACCTCAGAGGTAGCCGATACAACGGACTGACATTTAGCTCTCTGCTCCCATGACAGTAACAACCTTTTCACTTTGAAGACTATCTCCTCATCTCATTTGCAGAGCAGCTGACCATTGTTTTGTTTTTTTAACGTGCTAAATATAGACGCATGTCTTGTGTGACAACATTGTGAGGAAATAAGAACAAGTGTGGTTGGAAACTAACTCACCACAATCACCTATTTTCCACTGACAGCAGAGGAAAAGAACAAGCACGCACTGCTCTACGATACACTGAGAACTTTCTCTTTCTCTCATTCAAATCAGTCCACAACACGTATTATTCATCTGCACCTGGTAGAGGTATTGGGAACACACTGATAAATGAAAACAGCATTAAAAGGTGTCGTCATGTTGTAGCTTTATTCAGTAGTAATATAAATGAGTTGACTCAGCAGACAGTGAGAAGCACCACTGGGGCCCCTCAGTGAAGGGACTCATACTTTTCACAGGAGTACCCACATGTTAAAGGTTGTTAAAACATCACTTAATAATCTATTGAACTGAACAAAAACATCAACACAAATCAGAAAGAAAAGGAGTTACAAAAAGAATACAAAAAAAAAAGAACATATGTGAAGGGACACACTGGTGCATGACGTCTCCCCCTAACACTGAATGTTCTCTCTCCAAAGCTTTAGTTTAGTGTGCTACAGTCTGCAGTGCTTCTTCCATGTATCACTTTACCTTCACTTCTGCAGCTACAGTAGGTGGAGTGATCCCTCAACATACTTTGTGACCAGTTTGGCCTCACACTGCAGCAAGTTCGGGATTAAAACACAAAGACACAGTGACTCAAAATCAATGCAGCCCACAGGTTTAGAGTTCACAACAGGAGAGATGGTTAAATAGTAAAAAGAGTTGTGCAATCAAGTTATTCTGAACAGATGGAGGAGTTCTACAGTGTGTGAAGACATTAAAAACAAAGACAATGTGAACAAAAAATAAATACAAGGGGGTTGAGTCGATCATTTAGTTTGACCATTTGAATGTACAACACATCTGAATGTAGTTATGGTTTGTGGTAGGAATGTGACTTTTACAGTATATTCAATATTTAATAATATGCATCTCTTAATATATTTATTACATCCTCTTTTCTAATCACATAGTTCAATACATTTCCTCCTGGGGTTGAGTTGCTTAGGAGCGGGATGAGAGAGACAGAGAGAGAAAGAGAGGGCACATAAGTTACTATAGGAGTGTGCAGAGGGTGGGGTTTAGCAGGACACCTCCATGGTCTGGGGTGCGGCCTGGTTGTCCAGGGCCCCGGTGGCGCTGCCCTCCAGCAGGCTGTTGAGGTTGTTGCGGCTGCGACTGCTGTCCATGGAGGTGATGCTGGAAGAGGAGGCGGTGCGTGAGCGAGCCAGACGAGTCATTCCTGCTGACGGCACTGAAACAGAGAACTGCGCATTAATATTCCACTCACACAGCACGGAGACTCAGAGCAGTGTGGGAGCACTTAAAGGGGAACTACGCCCATTTTAAAAATTCATACATGCTACTCCTGTGATCTAAGACAGTCACAAAATATTAGTAAACATGAACACCACTCCAAATCCAAAAACTAGAGTGCTAAAGCTCAGATTTGTGATGTCACCAAGTATAAAGTCTGAAGCTGCTCCACAGACAATGAAGGGAGAAAGATGTTATAGATGAAACTGAGAGCACTCTGGGGAATGTCCTGGGTATAGACTGAATCGCCGTGACGTCACACTCACAACAATCACTTTGGGTGAACAACTGGCAATTGTTTTCAATTACAGAGGTATGTAAAAACAGCTAACTTGTTTATTTCTGTCTTCACTTTCAGCCGTAACTGTAAGACATATCATTAAACATGGTGGTTTCTGCTGTTCCTGTTTTATGTACTGCGTTGCTTTGCTAACATCTTCAAAGAACCATATACCAACGTACTGCTGTCGACAGGGGCTGCAGCAAAACATATTTTAGCCACCTAAAAGGTCTGTATCTGTTAAAGTGTGCGCTATATTTGGAATCCCTGTCACCACTTTACCTTACACACTAACTGATGGAGGCCGTGGTACATCATTAACTGTTGTGTTTTACCAAGTAAAATGACTGTTTTTGTCAACAGAGTGTGATGGCTTTGAGATAGTGGCTTCAGCTACCCATCAAAAATGGCTGTCTGATAACAAGATAATGCTGTGAAAACATTTTTAAATATAATGTACACTTAAAGTGATATCAGTTTTTTTAGACGGGCCTTTTTCAGGGTTCCCACATGTTTTTTACAAGTGATTTTTTTAGAACTTTTTTCTATAATATTCTACCCCATTTCCATGACTGACATAAGTAGCTTACTAGGTAGGTCTACATAGCCACCAGGAGCCATTCTGAGACTTTAACTCCTGTGTGCTCTGCCCTAAGAAAGGAATCATAGCAAAAATGTAGCATGGACTCTGGCATGGAGTGTCTTTGTGTCTACAAATGCAGCAGACACAAAGTGGTAACAGTATCAGGCCTGACTATGGCCTGTGTGGAATATGTGCCGACGCTGGCGCTCTGTTGAGCTGCCTTTTTGGTTGTCTTGATGCTTTTCTCCTTTAGCATTGCTGATCAGAGCCACTTCCCCCATGGTGCCAACGTCAAACGTTTTGGTGCAGCGTGGCTAGGGTCTGCCTCTCTTGAGCAATGTTTTATATTTTTCCTTTGAAAACCATACATAATAAAACTAACACTTGCCAACTTTACTCACTAGTCAGACATTGCTGCTGCCAACTAGCTGCAGAGGCCTTCGCCAATCATGTGACACTAGCCAACAGTCACGAACCTCAGCGCTGGATTTTAATTGAGTCATACAAGGAGGGTATTTCTCATAACGTTAGACATGTTCTGGGATTTTTATGAGTATATTTTAAACAACAGCCAAAACTGTGTATATTTAAAATTTTTCCATAACATTATGTTAATTCCAAACCATTTCCAGGCCTGGAAAACAGTCTGTCTAATTTCATAACTTTTCCAGGAGCTTTCATGACTGTGGGAACCCTGCTGTTTTTATGTAGCTAAAAACTAACCAAATGAGGCACCATTTGCTCAGTGCCATTTTGTTTCATGTACGTGACATGGCGTTCTTCTATCTGGAAATTACTGTAAACAAACATTGTCTATATGGAAATGTTTCCTGTCTCACAACTGAGATCACTACAAAGCATAAAGCTTATTTAGGATAAAAAAGGAAACAAACATTGTGTGGGTGCACAAAATCAGGCGTCCATTCACTGTCGACGGAGCAGCCCCAGACTTTATACTTAATGACATCACTAGTTGAAACTCACTTCTCTGGTTAGTAGCTCATGTTCACAAATATTGACTGAGCTTTCTGAGGGGACAGAAATAACACATTGGAATCCTTAATTTAGGTGACATTCCCCTTTAAGATACCAAGATGCAACACCAACAAAAGTGTGTACCATGCAAACGATTCTCAAATATGGAGATCAGTCAAATAAAAGTAACTGAGGATGACTGCATGTGTGTCTCTACTGTTTAAAAACATATGAAAGCAATACAACAGCAGAATACAGCAACTGCAATCCAACTGAACTGACTGAGGAAGCAACAGCAGCAGGTCATGCAACAAAATAGGACACTGAGAACAGAATCCATGCTAACAGGACAAACTAAACTCCTACAGGGAGATGAATGTGTGTCAGAGTATGCAGAATGATCTCGCTGTGGTTAATATTGACTGACTGTATCTACCACACTGAGCTGCTGTTGAATACCAATATGAACCAGTGCCCTCTGGAGAATTTCTGCATACATTGACATTCATCTGCTGAGGAGTGTTGAAAGGCCAGTGGGTTTAAAGCCCTCTAGTCTGGCAGCTGCTCAAGAACCCAGTACCTGATTCGTTGCTCAGGTGACTGAGAAGAACGTAGGGAACTGTAAGCAATGATTAAAGGAGGAAGAAAGAGAGGGAGAGATGTTGACAAGGTAGCTCTTGTGTTGCTACAGTGTATTTCTGATTCTGACTGAGGCTCTGTCGCAGCTTGGTGGTCGTTGGTCACAAAAAGCTGTTTGCTATCAATAACAGGTAGGGAATCATAGCATGTGTGCAAACTAGAGTCTTAATTTCCTGTACTCTTTGGCTGTTTCTCTTTTGCATTTCACACTGTGGCAATGTGTTAATGAGGGAAAAGCAGCTTTCAGTAACATGCTGAGGTGTTAAGATTTATTTTCCACACTTTCTCTGCGTGAAAACACTCTTTTTAATCAGTTTTAATCCTGCAGTGGCATTTACTCAACAGGGGGACTCGGTGGCCTTTAAAGCAACACTGAAGCACTGACATACTGGCTACACCCGAGGGTGCCTCCCACAGTAAAAGGTTTGGGAATGGGAGAGAGCAAAAGAGAATTTGCATTACAGAAATACACACACAGACAGGCATTATCTGTGTGACCACAGCAAGCAAACCTACATTCATCATGATTTCATCCATCCATAGATTCTGGTTGGTGCACTGGACGTCAGTAAGGTCAGAAATGTGTTTGTTTTCTTGGCAGATGAATGACCTGAAGGCCTGTTTAAGTATGCACTGTGATCTCTCTAGAAAGAGACTGCATCGTTAAACAGTTCTGGATAGAAAAGAAAATCACACGAGGTCAAAAAGAAAGAAAAAAAGAACAGAGGGTATTTTTTACGCCCACTCTGAACTGAACAGGAAGTGAATTGCTGTTCAGCGTATCTCGAGTGTCACTTCAGTCATGCTAGAAGCACTTACACCTCACCTACTGAGGGTTGTGGGGACCACACACTGCAAAGAGCAGAGAGGAAATGGCGTTAGCATCCACCTAGCCGATTAGGCTGCCTTTGCGTGACCAGGCTGACAAAAAAAACGCGTCTTTTCATGCACTGCAGGCCACAGTCCAAACCTCTTCAGCGGTGGGGTGGGGGTGGGGGGTTAGCAACAGCTCGTAGGAGCCTGCAGTTGAACAATCCTCAAGCAACTGTTGTCAGTGCACTCACGTCAACAGGAAATTCTCTGAATAACACAGACCAACCTCGACCACAAACGCGTCATCCTAAGAAGGTGTTAGCCTGTAAACAATTCTTGGATGTTCAATGTAGAGACGACTGGTTTGTATCATTTTATATTTAGATGTTTTTACTGACTAACAACAAGAAGCAGAGACATATGAGCATGTTTACTTACTGTAGCCCATTCCCTGAACAAAGTACTTGAAGGCCTCAGCAAGTTTCCCTGGCTGTGAACAGATAAAAGATCAAAGTTAGAGGATCATTAAGACAAGAAAACTGCTAAATGACTAGGGATGGAAATATGATAATACAGTTTTATTGATACCAATGCCTTTATTGATTCCACCTACTGGTCTGATTCAGTTTCCTTACTGACTCCTGATCAATTTTCAAAGTGGAAAAAAAGCAGGCCTACACAGGGTTTCAGCATCAACGTAACTGTTTTATCATCTCTGAGTCTGAACACAGTGTAGAAACAGAGTTTTAAAAAAATGCATGCAGCTGAAACATAACTAACCTCTTGGAAAACAGCTAGTCTAATTAGGAGTGAGGGGAAAAAACCAATACAGCAAAGTATCTTGCTATTTTTGTCTGGCAATATCGTATCGTCACACAGTGCCAGGTATCTTTTTTATAATTATATAAATTATTAATATGACAAATGCAGATTAATGTTAAGGTAGCCTACTAGAATAATATAATCAATTGGGTTTTTTTTCAGTCAAGTAGATACATTTTGCTGCTGCTGCAAAAAAGGCTGAAATTAGATGAACAGACTGAAAACTTTATCTTATTAGAGAAAACAGATGTTGACAAAGTTTTCCTTTAGGAGCACAATTTACAGCTGAAAAAGGGGAATATAATTGCAATACATTTTACTGTATTATTAGCATATTGCAACATATTTAAAATCACAATAATACTGTATTGTGACTTCAGTATGGTGATAATATTGTATCTGGTAATTTCCACTCCTAAATCTAATCTACCAAAATTCTGGTTCTTCTTCTGTTGTGAAAGGATGCAAACCGTTTGCCACAAATTTTGTGATTGCACAATGACACCTGCTCACTTGTTCAGTCGAGCCGCAGTGGCTCTCGTGGGTAGAATGTCAAATACATGCGTTTGTGGACCTACTACTACACCCCTACACCCCTACATCAGAAGCAGCACTGATGTCATCTTTTCTTGTGAACTGAAGCCACACTTGCAAGTCTCGAGCAGTGCCGGCGCATGGGTTTGACATCATTATTTTGCAATGCGCAACTGTCAGAAAAATATGCCGGCATCGATAAAAGGAAGCGATAAGCTCTGAGGCATAAGATTCCGATGGATCGGACAATTTGGAACTGGTTCTCAACTGGCACCGGTTCTCAATTCACATCCCTATGAGTGATCAAACCAAAAACTTGAAAAACCAACCTGCACAACCTGGGGCAGACCTCCACAATCAGCCATCTGGGTAAAATGAAAAGTCTTATTAATACAGTCTTTGTACACTCAAAAAAATGTTTATTATATTTTATTAATTAAAAAATTTATTACAAAAAGTTTCACCTTTAGCAGTGTGGTCTTGGTAGGATTTAACCTAGAATTGCACTCCACCTGAAACATCAACAAGAGGTTACTACTGAGCTAAAAAAAAAAAGAGAGAGAAATAACTGCAAATGCTTCCCAAGGCTTCTTAGGTTACTGAGATGATGGATCATAACTCACCACAGCCTCCACAGCAGGTGATGTGTCACCAACCACCAGCAGCGCAGGGCATCTGGATGAGAAACAGATGAAGTGTAAGTATTTTTAAAACTGTGGACTCCGAAACAAATGGTATTCTGTGTTTTCTAAGTCTCAAAACCTACGTTAGTGTGTTAACTGTGTCCTCATTCAGACCGACAATTGGCCTCTCGATCTCCAGGTCTGTGCGGCTGGTGCAGGGAGACAAATTACAATTAGTTAGCAGAGCTGAAACAATGTGATCTGGCTAAAATACAGGGTGACTCAGCAGAAATCCTGATTCTCTGTGCACCTTATGAGTTCATATAAAATACTTGTTCTTTGTGTTTTGTGATGCATTACTTTATTCTGTGTATTCACATCTGGCTTAGCACACACTCACAGAATTTACATGCCTCATCCATACTCATAAATGTGATCAAGAACTAGGGTTGGGGGAAAAATAGATTCTTAGATGCATTGCGATTCTCTCTTGAAATATGGGCCCTATCTTACACCTGGCGTAAAGTGGTGCATAGCCCAGTTCAACAGTTTCAGACTAACACAGTTGTCATTTTCACAGCCAGCGCCCAGGTTGTGAAAGTAGCAAATATATTTGGGCCCATCTGTGCACTTATAGATGTGTAGATCTTAAATGAGGTGTGGTGTCAGGTCATTGTTGGTACTTTGAGGCAGCAGACAGCGACTGCACCACTGACCAACGCAAACCTGATCTAAAGTCAACAGCGCAGTATTTTCCTGTCAATTAAAGGGTGCATTATTCACATTGTAGAATGCACCCACATAAGTGGGATCATAACACGCGTACACTCTGCTTGTTACACACACAGGATGGCATGGATGAGTGGCAGGTGGGTAAATTAATACATCATTAATAGGAAAATATGCTGTGAAAGGTGCAGGTGCACCTGGCTTTTGAAGAGAATGGGAGATGACACTCTGATTGTTTGAATTCATGTTACACCGAACAAACACCTATGTTTTAATTAAGAGACAAAACACAACCCATCTGCTCCTTGCGTCGCTTTGCACCCAGCTTAGGCAACATATATATGTTTTGTTTTAAAAGTAGTCACACAGTGAGATAAATAAATGACGTATAGAAATATAAAATTTGGATGCAATAAAATGCATTAATGATCACATCGTAGCCCTCTGAATCAGAATCAAATCGTGAGGTGCCTGGAGATTCCTAGCTCTATCAAAACCACAATAAATGAGGGAAAATGCTGCTTAGAAAAACATTAATGCACAGTCAATGTACACACTATTGGTAGGAGCCACAGAAGAGGGCCAGGTTGTCCTGGTTGATGTCTTGGGCGATGTGGAGGCGGTAGGTCTGGATCAGCTCCTGGTTCTCTGTCAGCTCATCCTGATGAACAGAGCAGAGTAAATAAATCCTGCCTTGCAGCAGACAGCCATAAAGAGCTCCGATGAAATAAGAAGTAGTCTCTGTATAAAGTGCATGTAAGCAGCATGTACTGAATGTACAGGGAGCTGTTTATATTTAGTCTTGTTGCAGACAAGCTGTGGGATATACAGTATGCTTAGCTTCAGCACTGCAGTTATTAAACTGAGTCTGTGATCTTACATGTCACAATCCACCGGTCTATATATCCAGGAGGACAGAAATAGAATAATTACTACAAGTGTGTTATAAGAGCGAGATGAGGTAAAGGCATCGAGGGAAATCAAGAAAAGCCTCCTGACGTTCAGTTAGTGTTTCACATTGTCAATGAAAAGGTCAACAACACTAAAAAAAAAAGCACATGGTGAGTGATGTACTGCCAGGGAAACTCACGGTGCTGAAGTGGTGAGACATAACGATATCCACCAAATTACTGGTCCATCCAGACAGCTGCACAGGAGAAAGGAAAGATCCAGTTAGGACAGAGATGACTTTTTTTATTTATTCATGTAGGAAAATTATGGTTATGGCTATGTTGCCATGCCTCTGTCTTCATACCTTGTGTATGCACTGAGAGATTTAATGTTTTTAGTCTTATCTAAATTAAGAAATTGTGAAGGAAGTGGTGTCCTGGTGGACAAGTAGGGCATTTCCATTGGCACTTTTGGCCACACCGAGTCAAACCATGTGATGATTTGTGTTTCCATTAGTAGTTTAAATGCGCTAAAATGTGGCCCACAACGCCCACGATGGACCATCGTCTGACTGCATCCAAGCAGGTTGCAGTGGCGTCAGATGGGCCTCACCATCATTTCAGCAACATTCAGTAACGATTCAGCAACATCCTGAAAATCCTCAAAGATAAGTAGCTGGCTACCATCAACTGTTGCACAGTAGTATAGTTAGTTAACAGCACAAAGAGGACACTGCTTTTTAAACTTCATCGACTCAAGACAAGGGTGTCAGCAGCTTAAGATATATCTTCAAGTGGGTTGCCCTGTTGTATGGAGATCTAAATCCCTGCCACGCTGGGCTGACGTGCCAAGACAAATGTGTCAAATTGAGTTAAACCAAGCCAGCATATCTATCGCATCTATTGCACATTGATTAGTTGTCAACTATTAAATTCATTGCCAACTAATTTGATAATTGATTAAAAGACTTGAGTAATTTTAAAGATATTTTTTAGGGCATTTTGCCTTTAATGGACAGGACAGGTAAGTTTGAAGGGGGGGAGAGAGAGGGGGGGGACGACATGCAGCAAAGGGCCCCAGGCTGGACTCGAACCTGGGCCGCTGCAGCAACAGCCTTGTACATGGGGCGCCTGCTCTACCCACTAATCCACCGACACCCCGATTTAAAAATTCTCTGATTCTCTGAATGTGAATATTTTCTGGTTTCCCTTTTCCTTTCTGACTGTAATCTGAATATCTTTGGATTGTGGACAAAACAAGACATTTGAGGACGTCATTTTGGGCTATGGGAAAAACTGATTGACAATGTCGCCATTTTCTGACATTTTATAGACCAAACAACGAACTGATTAAAAACATATAAACAACAGATTAGGAGACAATGATATTAATTATTAGTTGCAACCCTTACACTATTATAAATGCAACCTTGCCATTTGATTCAAGCCAGGCAGCTTTGTTTCAAGTAAAACACTTCTGTCACTTTCTCTCTTTCTCCATCACTACTGTCACCATCCAATAAAAACAAAATGTTAAAACAAATCTCTCAATTAAGTAATTTTATCATTTTCTTTTATACATTTGGCTTAGTTGGGCCAAATATTCACTGAAGAACATGTGAAGTGTGGTGATTATAATCTTTATGGGACAAAGGTCATATTAAGCTCCCCCTGGCTCTGTGACTACTGTGTGTAACACTAACGCAGCTTGTATAGTACACACAACAGTATACAGTTCACAGTGTGTAAGTACAGTAGTACAGTACTATATTATGACCCATTGTGTTCTTGCCTGCACTTTCAGAGCACGACTAACTCAAAATGAAACTAATCTAAATGAATGACCCTTAACCTTAAAAACTGCAGGTAAAACCAAATTAACACAGGATTAGAGCCCCTGCCTGTGTTTTTATGCCATTAATCCAACACTTATAACTTGTACACTTACTTTTTTTTAAGTCTCTTTAAATTATTATCCTTACTCATAACAATATATTATCAGGTGTATCATAAGATAAAATAATCATTTTTAGAGATGGTGAAAACAAGAAGCAACAGTTAAAAAAAAACACAAAGCAATATAATTAGTAAATGTCAGTAAAAAACACACAGATCAGTCTAATAAGTAAACAGTAAGAAAATACAGGGCAACCTGTAAAAAAAAATTAAAATAAGTAAACAGTGAAAACCAAGAGGCAATTTAATAAGTAAACAGTAAAAAGCAAAATATAATAAACTGACAGGCTGATAAACATTGGAAATGTAAACAGTGTCTCGTTGTCAGCATCCATGATTTTATTTCAAGTAATCTTCTTTAGTTTTTGCATCATATAAATGAGTCTAAAAATAAAATGCCAGACATAAACAACATTAAGCAGAGAGCTTAAAATAGTATACTTTGGGTAGTGAGTGCATTCATTAATAGCAACCTAACAAATGGCTGGAAACTGAACTGAAATGGCTGGTTAATTATTTAAGCTGCTCTATGTTGCAGAATGTACTGATGACTTTCTAGGTTTATGATGCAGTGGTAATACTGACCTTTGAAGCTGCCCAGTCGATCCAGCCCTCAGCACATGGGTCGATGTTGATCAAAACCAGCCCCTCCACCAGGGTGGGGTTGTTCAGCTGGGAGGGAAAGGACGCATGTCAGTGCCAACTTAGAATATGACTTTTTGACCAGTGAAATAGCCCAACATTGGTGTTATCTTGCATTGTGTGTGCTGTGCTATACTTAAAATGTTCAGTTTTCCCTCTTGTGCAAACCTACAGTGTGGTTTAGTGTTCGTGTGTGGTTTATGCCTATGCATAGCTACATCTTCACAAGTTTTTGCCCAGGATTTTGTGCATTTCATTAACAGTGCAGATGCAGGGTGAAGCCACTGCAAAGTGATAGAAAGTGAGGCATGTCTGTTCGTTAAAATGAAGACATGAAACAATGAAGATGGAATCCTGAGCTTCTAAATTAAGGAGTGCGGTTTTGGAATGGCCTGAAGACAGAAAGAGGATGTCTGGGGAAATCTAAACTCCATCTCGCCCTATGCTGAGGGAATACTGCAGATGCTGCTTTCAACACGATACAAATGCAGTGCAGCAACAGCTGCTATAAATCTAGCAAAGACATTTTGTTCCAAGCCGGCCGGAGCAAATGCATTTCAGAATCAATGTTCTTCATTAATTCTAAACAAGAACAGACTCTCCATAGAAAGCCTGGCGGTATGACTAATCCCTACACCTCCCCTTTTTACCCTGGCCACCATCCCCTCTTTCTATTATTTATCTTTCACTGCCTCCTCGCTCCTCTCTGTCACTTCTAGCTCTTTCTGCTCTATTGTACACATCGTGCTTATTTTAGCTTGTGCGGAAACAAGACGTAAGCAACTGAAAAGGAGAGAATCACCAAGGTGATTCATCATTTGGGGAACGGAAGCGCATGCAGCAGACTGTGGAGCAACCTGATGCCCTGTGTGGGCTTGATGGGAGGCTTTAATGTTCAGTGTAACAAGCTGTGTGGCCTGAAAACCTCCAATTATTACAGGCGAAACAGAAAGGAGGGGGGCATAAGACTGGAAAATGGAAGGGTTGAAAGTGTAGGTGCTCTGGTCAGGATGGGGACTTACTGCAAAGCGGGTGAGGATGTATGCTCCTGCACCCACGCCGATGCCGATCACGCTGTTGACCCTGCAGAGAAATGGCTGGTTACTGCGTGACTGGAGGTGAATAGTTAATTTATGCACATGACCATTGATCAGCCATCAACACAGGGGCCACTCACTTGAGCTGAGTCATCACAGAGGGCAGCATTTCAGCCAACTCGTCCATGGTCGGGTAGCGATAACTGGAGACAGATGAAATGCACGTGAGTCCATGTGAGTCGTGAGTACGGAGTCATTTATTCATGTTTGAATTGATCACGAAAACTGAGTTCATCATAAATTCAAATACTCTAACTCCTTCTTGACTAATAGCTTGGACAATGAATGTGCATCCATTAGCAAATGAACTACCAGCTCACTTTTCATTCTTACTAAATAAATTGATTGCAGCTGCTACATCAGCACTGGAATAAATGTGTTCCCATTTATCAGTGCATGTAAAACCAGTCTGACACCCACCCACTGGGGAAGGGAGGTGCACCCTCCTGTTGGCCGGGTGCATCAACGTGAACCACTGCAAAGTGCTGTGTGATCTCCTGCATGTCCTCATAGTTGAACAGGGTGTTGAAGCATGACTTGTCTAGAAGGGTGCAAACAGAGGACACCCACAGAATGTGAGAGGTCGGGAGTTTAAACTCCGTCAAGGACCTGAGTGAGACTGTCTGGTGCAGAGGCTAAAACAAAACAGTTACATCACATCAATGACATTGTGAATCGATGAGTCTATTTTTGGCTGACTCACGGTTGAGGCCGATGTCGTGATAGGTGAGGATGACGGGTCTGTTGCCCTTGGGAACACCTCTCATTGTGACATGGAGAACGCCATGGGGAGTCTCAATGTCATGCTCCTGCAGCCACAGAGAAGAAGAAAGTACCATTCAAGACTGATGGAAAAATACATGATGTGTGTAAAGAGAAAGGGCTTGCTCACAAGACCTAATATTCCACTACTTTAAAGTGTACTATGCAAGATTGTCTGTTACTCTTTTTATGTATATCTTTAAAGTGACATGTGTGTTGTCCAGTTTGTGTCATGGCCAATGTTGTCACATTTAAAGGATATTTCTGGTGTTAATAAATAAACAAAACAACAACAAATCTGTCTTTGTACCTAAGGCCTGGTATAGCTTTTGCCCCAGAACTCCAGCCTCAACTAAAAACTATTAAAATCTATCTAAAGGAGCCATTTGGGTGACATATACCTTCATTAAGATGAGCCTTGCCAATGTAGTTTAATTCTTTTGGCTTGTCAAACTAGGAAAGTAGTATAAATCCTCGAGCATGCTCTCTCACTAGAGATAGTAAATGCAGTCATAAAATATACAACACTGTGCATGTTCATTGTAATGATGGAATGTCATCCGACTCAATTGTACAGGGCTTTCAAGTTCTTCAAAAAACAACAACAAAAAAACAAAATAAAAATAACTTTACATTACTGAAGTTCTATGGCACAGAGAGATAAGCTACAGTACAGTACATCATGCTGTGGCTGCACAGACAATATTATTACTACCACAAATCCATTTCAGGACTGTTTAATTCATAGGATTGTTTTAAAATATGACAGATTTATGCTTCAGGCTGTGGAATATCAATTATATTGTGTGGGCTTTTTTTCTTTACATGAACATTATCTCAGCCAAGCACAGAACACAAGGTAATCCATGGGAATCCCGCATCAGCCATAAACATGTAACTATTTCAGCTACATTGAGCTATTTATGCCAAACTGACTCATAAAGTAGGCACATTTAAATAAAAAAATACAAAAAAGGGGAAAAAATTACACCTAAAAACAAAACTTGTACAGAGAGATGAGTATTTTATTTACAAAAATATAGATAAAGGGGATGCATATTTCCTAAAGTAAACACTCAAAGATCACAACATTTGGGGTTCCTATCTCAGATTGAGGATGCAAAGCATGCGCCTCCTCTCCACCACACATTCATTGTACTCTTGGACAAACAAAGCACAGATTGGGCTGTCTGGGAAACAGTCTTTTCATCCGGGGAAAATAGTCTTTGTATCCAAGTATGACTCTGCAAAAATGAATGTCTTTGCAGGAAGACCCATTAAAATTCAAAGAGCTCACACCAGCTTCATTCTCTCCTTCGCTTTCTTTTCAATAACTTTTTCTATCGAGCACAAGGAAGCCCAAACGTACGTACCCCGAGTACTTCACAGTGCTTTTACAAAAAACACACATCAATGGCTCAAAGGGAAACAGGTATTTTTCAGCCTGGACCCTATTTTCTCATGTATTTGTATCAAAGTGATTCATGGGAACAACAAGTTTTAAAACTGGTTAAGCAGCTGGTAGCTGGGGCAATAGTGCATTGTCCATGTATGACTACTAAAAGTGCTTGTTTTTGCCACTGACAGGCTCAGATTGTTATTCTAAGTGTCTGACAAGGAAATAAGATATCTGTCCGTTATTGCCTTCCTGCAACTCAATTAAATTCGTAAGACTTTAGAACATGATTTCTCTTTGAATGAGACTTGGTTGGACAGAAATTAGAACAGACCGGATCAAGCAAAAGGTAGAGAAAAATGTTTTATTTCTTTGTCTTACACTGAGAATAACGATCTGAGCCTATCAGTGGCAAAATCAAGCACTTTTAATGAGCGTAAATTGAAGCTGCATTATTGTCCCATGTGGTTACAGTGCAGTCTGTTTTGCTGCTGCCGGCTGCCGTGCTCTTTCTCAATACTGGACCAGTTTCAAAAATTGTTGTCTCCATTTGCACTTACACACAAAACATGAGAAAATGGGTTTCAGGTTTAAAAACTTCCATTTAAATTGACACTTACTTGGACTGTAAGACAGAAATGTGGTTAAGATAAATCGGGGCAAGTACTTTAAAGATGACGCAGCAAAAACATCAGAGGCTCTCATGAATGTTTATAAGATTCAGAGAGAGTGTAGGAAATGATATAACGGGAAGTGATAAGGTATACAGGAAGTAACAAAGCCAGTTTCCAGACATGCCTCAGGTCTCTAAATACATCCATGCCTCAGATTCACAGCATCACAAACACACACACTTCCCAAGGTGAGCATGACTTAGTGCTGCATACAAGAGTGTGCATGACGTGGCAACGTGCATGTGTATGTGTACTGCACAGGCGAGCACCAGGGTGGGGCCTAATGCTTGCCTGGTCTCAAGGCCCACTGGTCATCAATAATAAAGAGAGTGAGCCTGGGCGGACGAGAGACACAGGTTATGGCTGACAGACACAGAGGGAACGTGACTCTGACTATTTCCCTCCTCTGGGTTCCCACTGCAGGCATTTGTCTGATGGATATGTGTCACAATCTCTACAGAGGAGAAAAAGGTACATTCTCAAGGACAAGGCTGCAGTAATTTGCATCTGCAATCTGTAATGGACACAGTAACACAAAAGGAAAAAATACTCCTCTTGTCAGTGACGGAACAAGATATCTTCATCTGTGTGGGTGTTGGCACAGAGATTAGCCTGTTGCACAAAACATGAAAACAACACAAAGCAAACCTCACTGACTCCGTACTACAAACCACCGATACTGAATATAACCTATCAACCTGAGATGGAATAAACCATGAAGAAACGCTCCTGCTGACAGCTGGCCTTGGACTCATCGAAGACCTTTTCAGAGATAATGAAACGATTCTGCCACCGCGGCCTGGTGGGGCGGCAGAACAACCTGTTATAGACGGAGAAGAGAGGAAACTCTCTGTGGCTGTGCTGCTGCAGAATTTTTGTTGTTAATGCAAGGACAGAGTCAAGGACACTCAGTATAGAAAGAGAGGCTTTGCTCGAAGAAACAAGGCAAACACACTTGTGCAAATGTCTGCCTCCTGTCATGTACGTGCACTGTACATGCGCCAGAAAAAGCAGGCGTGTACACCCCATCGGTGAAAGGAAATGAAAAAGGTGATGGGGAACTTGGGGGGGGGGATAGAAAAAGAAAATGAGACAGATAGTACAAGAGATAGAGAGTCTGGAAGTGGATGGGAGGAAATGGAGCGTGAAAGCAAGCAGAGACAGAGTGACAGACACAGGAGGACATAGAAGACAGGGGAGTCCTGTATGACTAACTGAAGGGTGCCTTAAAACTGGAGGAGCCATTGCTTAATTTATCATGCCTTCCAGCCATGTCCTGGCACAAACAGGGGTGGAGAACCATGGAGACAAGGGCTGTGGAAAGGAAGTAAAGAAAAGGACCTTTTATCTATTCATTTAGCTCTTGGCATAGTTTAAAAGCTGTATTGATCTGTGAGTGCTGCCTCTCACTGTTTCCTATCACAGACACATATGGGTATATATGTACACACAGCAGCATCTCAAGAAAATAGACATGGGGTGGGGCTGCCAGCCTGGACAGTCTGAGGGGAAAAAAGAAGGAGAGCACTGCATTGGCAGCAACCCCTTTTCATCTTTAAACATTCATAGTGGCTGGTAGTTGGACAATAAGTGTGTGCGAATGTTTGGAGGGACGTATGTGAGACAAGAATACTGAGTAGGGGTTTGTGCTTTGAGGAGAGGGGCTTCAGGAAGTTGCCCGGGGCAAAATGGGGGGTAGGCACTTGGGTTTTGGTCCCTGACTGAAGGAGGATGAGGGAAGTGAAAAAGGAGAGCAGTATGTCATGCTGTTCCTCTTCCCGCAATCCTTCTCTTATCAATCCCTCCTCCCCCTCCTCCCTGTTCTCCACGCCCTGCCAGGAACAGCATCAATCACCCCTTGAGAGCAGCATTACAGGGCAAGAAACACCAAGCAGCCAGCAGCCTGTAAATGAATTTATTGTTTACACGAAGACATGTGCATTCACACATTAATGTCTCCTATACATATTCTCCAGCGGGATCATCCCAGGTACATGCCAGCCTGCTCTCCTCTGACACAAACACAGCCCCCTCCACCTGCAGCACACATACAGTACACGTATGTGTGTCATCAAAGCAGTGGGTTGAAACTACAAACTCTGCAGGGGAGGGAAGGATCCGCTTCAGTGATTTTGGTGTGTAGCTACAGTGTGTGGGGGGTGAGTGACCTCCCTGCCTGTTTTCGGTGATAACATAGAACGAAAGACAATGCTGGTAGTATGCACCATCCACAGAAAACACACATCCCTGCAGTTATGGATGACAACAAAAATACACATTTGAGACATACAGAAACATGCAACCTGAAACATACAAACACCAATGACAGTATGAATGGACACCAATATGCTGACAGGCACGTACACATCCTCTGGTTGTGGCATCTGCAGATTCAGAGACACTTGAGCACTACACACATGCATCTTTCATATCATCACATAAAAATGCACCACTGCACCCTCAGCATGTTTTGACTATGCAGACTGCACACATGGGCACTGTGTGACCTGTAGGCACACACACACACACACACACACACACTGAACAAATGTTCACCCCACACTAGCAGCTGCCCGGAGAGAAAAAGCCAAAAGTCTCAGCCGTCTCCTGAAGGTGGTGACAGCCAAGCCAGGAAAGACCACCACCAGCTTTTCCCTCCCTAGAACCAGCTGCTGTCACCTTCTTTGGGGAAACAGCACAACGACCTCCATACCTAATCTTAACCAGAACCCCCTGCTGCAAGGACCCAGCCAGGTGTATCAAGACAGGCAAGATGCATTTGTCACTCACCACTCCATTCCCAGAGCATGCAATCTGGTCCAGATCCAGAATAGCTGACATGTTTTTCCCACGCAGGAGAGGAGTGTGTTATGCTATGTGCAAGTGTGTGCTGGGCAGCTTTGAAGATCTCCAAAAGGAGGAGGAGGAGGAGGAGGAGGGCGGGAGCGTTCGTAGGAAGGGAGGGATGTAGGGGTGAGGCGGCAAGAGCAGCGGCAACAAGGAAGACGAAGAAGAGAGGGAGGAGAAAGACACAGCAGAGGGAGCGAGGAGGAGATGGATAAATAATCTGAATGAAAGCAGAAGAGGGGGGTGGATAAGATGCAGCGAGAACAGGAGAGAGACAGAGACAAGAGGTGGGAAAGAGAGCAGGAAAAGAGACAGAGGAGGGAGGAGAGTGAGACTGCAGTTTGTGCTTGGTAGTCACAGCGCGTCCGTACATCCAGCCACCGGTGCGTCTAATTGGATTGCAGAGGGTCAGGTGGGTAGAGGGAGAGGGTGGGGCTTAGAGGAGAGAAGAGAAAAGGAGGGGAAGAGTGGGAGGAAGAGGGATGGGTGCGTGGAAGAGGGGTGATGGGGTGCAAAGGATGCAGAGGCAGTCCTGGAAAATGAGCAGGCTGCTGACGTCACGCCATGATACCGATAAAGTGAAGAGAGAGGAGAGGAGAGGAGAGGAGAGGAGGCTGACTTTGACAGCTCACCCTGGGCTGTGGTCTGCATCAGCAAAATGGCTGCTCATCACTGAGACAGAGCAACAATTGTCTCCAGGTTCATTTTAGCTTCACCTTGAAGAGGGCGAAGACTGTAGGTGACCTCAGCATCCAAATAAGAAATACCTCAGCATAAATATAAACAATCACACCCTGCTAATGTCTCCAATTTGCAAGAGAGTCACTCAGCAGCATTGGTGTAAAATGCAGCAGTCTGACATACACCTACAACAGCTTTGCTGCATATGCTGGCTCATACTGCAACATTATCGTGTTAATATTCCTGCACTGCTCTACCATTCATTTCAGTATTGACATTCAAAAGATAACCCTCATTATGTTCCAGGATTACCAGAAAATAAGCCAAGCTACTATTTTTATTTCCCATTCACAACCCTGCATGAGAGGATCTATTTCCTCTCAACCTGCCTCTGAATCATTTGATCCACATAGTTTATTGATCTCTCCTTTTTTACTCTCCTCTGTCATCTGCACAAATGCTGGCAGTGCAGAATATCATGCTTTTCTTTGTGCAGCCAATGGCTCACATGCAAACCGCACAGAGTGGGTGGGATTACAAAGACACGGGGCACTTCACTGGTTAGTCAATGTAGCAGCAGGTTTGGTTGCAAACTGCTGTTTCTCCTCTAAATGTTTCCTGTCCTAACCCACAGAGGGTGCCACTGACTCACATGTAATGTATGTACATTTTAAGGAATAAACACTTAATTACAGACTAAACAAATAAAGTAATGCAGGTATCAATGTTACACATATGATCTATGCTATATAATGCCACAAGAGAGCAGAATCTCTAAACATTTTATTTCCATAGAGCTTTTTTTCCACAGGGTAGGGGGGACTGTAAAAAATGAATAACACTGTTTCCATCTCCACTCTTTCAAGCCAGATAGGAGGGGGACGTGACTAATTGCACGTACACTGTGATGCTACGCCAGGTTATGGTGTACATGTGATTGGTCACATCAGCTCATAGAGATGGTGTGTGTGACCAAACACATGCTCATCCTTTCCTCGACAGAGCAAGTGCCTCTCTGTGTCATACACTGAGTCACTGTGTGTCTCAGCAGGACTCTGCAGCCATAAAGGCACACAGTGATGCTCTGGTCTGCATAGCTCAGTTCAATGTAGAGCTTTGCATTAACACAGCCAGAATCTCAGGTGTAATTACCACATGTACAAGCAAATTAAAAATGCACAAGCTCGGGAAAACATTTTGTATTAAAATGTCAACCCGATTACATGACATGACATGGTGTACCACATGACTCTGTCAATGTAATCCTCTTCCAAGATGGTGACTGAGCAACATCTGTGCAATACATGACGTTTCTGCAGTGCCTGAGCCTATCTTCAGAACAGACAATCAACAACAAGAAAAGCACAGTGGACTAAAAGCACATCACTCAAAACAGAGCCCTCCAGCCACACAATTGACAGGCTTATGGCGCCCTCTGCTGAGTTTAATGAGACAGTGAGGACATGACTTGGCAGCCATTTGTGTGGAAAACAAAGTAGACAGCTTCTTCTAGTTTTTGTGTTGGAATGGTACAAGGTCAAAAAGAGATATGGTATCATAACTGGACATAATTACAAAATGTGAAACCTAGTAGGTGATGACTGATGTGTGACTATGTGGAAATAATGTCAAAAATAATCTCATAATGACAAATACACAACATATTTTGAGTTAATCAACAAAAACATCACAATTGTTCAGATTCCATGGAAACCCTCATAACGTTTTTCTCTCCACAGCAAACACCATCAACCCTAAGATGTTCTATTTTTAAAGTGTACAGTCAGCCATTTCCAGCACCATGAGGTAACTCAGTGTTCTTAAGTATGCACTTTAAACACAGCAGATCCCATGGGCGGATAAGGCTGACTCACCCCCCACCCCTCGCTTCATCATGGCAGAAGCAGGACATCTTATGGTTCCCAGACTGCAGCAACACACCCTCTGGGTTCTCCTCTCTGACCTCACGTCATCACCACCTCCATCTACGCCTCTCTCCTCATGCAGGTGCAGAGGGGTTTTGATATTACTGTTGCAGTACCTCAGGACCGCCTGTGGTGGGAGCTTTGGTCGCAGTCAAGAGGAGAGCAGCTGGATTTGTCCTCCAGCTGCTGGAATGTCACACCGTTAACCAGAGTGGTAGCGATGAGGACCCCTCCCCCACATGCAGACTGTATTCATGGGAAGTCTGCTACTGATGTCTTGTACTGCATGTGGGCACCGGCTGTTGTTGCATTACTAAACTGTGTGACAGTGGTAGTCAGGTGCAATGAAATTACACACCTTTTTACATCACTTTTGAGCTTCTATCAGTTCATCTTAAATCAACAAGCTGAGTCTTGTCCTACACCTGGACAAAAAATGCATGATACTGAAAAATCTTGTGCATTTGTTTATACACGTTTTACACTTAGAGAAAATTTGATTCACTTTGTCAAACAGGGAGGGACTCTTTCAGAAAATCTGGCAACTGGTCGTTATTCCGACTAAACAATTAAGGTTGTGTTAGTGCTTATATTCTGTTTTGTTCTTTCTTTCACTCTTGTTTTTTTTCCTGTGCATTTGCTGTTGTTGTGGTTGTTTTACTGTATTTTTACACAACATCTATTGCATGTCTGTCTGTCCTGGAAGAGGGATCACTCCTCAGTTGCTCTTCCTGAGGTTTCTACTGGTTTTCCTAGTCTGCTGTGAGGGTCCAAGGTCAAAGGGGTGTCATATGCTGAAAAGCCCTCTGAGGCAAATTGTGATTTATGATATTGGGCTTTATAAATTAAATTGAGATTGCTCTTCAAAATCAAATAACAGTTGTTGCAAAGAAAAGGCATGAGATTAAAATAGCTACCATTTCATACATTTCCACTGAGGAGAATTGGAACCAAAGTTAAAAAAATCTGTGAATAGCACATTTTAATTTAGCCCGTATTTTAGTAAAATATAACTTGCTACCACAATTTAGCTTAGATGAGCTATTTGGTAAATATCTAGTAAGCAAGCAAGATAATCGAAGTGCTCTCTTGCACTTCAGCTCATAAATTTTGTCTTCACCTGCTGCCAGAGTGCCCAATCAGCACTGTGCATTTGCACCTTTCAGCAGAGGTGGGAAGGAAGAGTGATGGCTCACTCCTTAGCTACTTCCATCATCATCATCTCTAGAAAAAAAAAATGACATGTTTAATTCTTTTCTTACCATTTGCCCGTAAAATCAGGCAGGTGAGTTGCAAGACTTGCACTGGGATATCAGGTTATCCTATTTTTGGCTTATGGCATGTAAAACAGAAATACACATACATTTTTATTTCTATAAGGACCAAAGTTTAGGTTCAGAAAAAAGAACTGCATGCTAAATTGACAACTGGCCATTTTTACAGCAGACACTTTGACTTATCATAGTAGGAAAGACTCTCATGTTACTAATAACACCTCTATTCAAGTGTGCCACTCAAGCCATGACAGTGTGACAGTGAGCCGGCATGCATACTGTCAGGATGCATACTATCAGGACTTTGAAACTGAAGCAACTAAATGTAATTCAGTAATCCTTAATTTTATGATATACACGTGCTTTACTGCCAAGATATGTCAAATTGGATTTCCAGGAAAAAGGCTTATCAAATCTCACTTCATTATTTATTTATTTTTTTTTTTTAATCATATCTCCCTTCATTATTAAAGTAACATTACTTAAAAGAAAAATTTGCAAGTAGCATTTAAATAAGCACCAGTTTAAGGATTGTCTTAATAATTCATCACGATTCCCAAATGTAACCATGTGAGGTCAAAATGGCTGCCACGGAAATTAGGTCACATACACTTAAGTCTGCCTCAATACCACTGACACAAATTCTGGTACAACCCTTTCTTTAAAGTACAACTGCAGAACCTGAACTGAATCACAAGAGGATGAGTAAAGAACTATGACATTGAAAATATGAGCAGCTGAGTGACTGCAGCGTTTTATGAATGTTAATGTATCTGTGACAATGCAGACAGGAATGAAGCATGTAGCATGCCTGCTCCAGCTAACATGCTTTACTCTCCTCCCCTGCCTGCAGGAGCTATATTTAGCTATGGTGGGATGCTGGAAGCAGCCGTGACTGCAGAAAGTGAGAGGGGGATGAAAGATTTAACCCTTTGCAGTCGGGATGCTCATGAAACGCAGCAGAGGGCTTGCCTGTAGGAAGTCACTCCTCATGCAGGAGACTCCTTGCAAAAAAAAAAAAAAAGCAGCTTTTACAGCAAAGAGGAGGAGGGCCGGCGATCCTACTCCCCATGCAAAGAAACCATCAAAGAAGGGTTTCTGGAACAGTGCCTGCTCAAGGCCAATACTTCTTTTTCTTGGGTGATAATTACGCTTAAATTATCACATAAAAAGACCTGACTGTAATTGAGATGCTTACGGTGAAAAGGCAAGCACAGAAACAATCACACAAACAGTCTTACTGTGGAGGACACTAGCTAAGACATAAAAGATGTCTTAAATCACTGCACTTGTATGTCTCTGTTTGACATTTACTAAGAAAGAATACTCTGTAAGGATCCCTAGAGGCAGTGTTAGCGCTTGTACTAGACTTGATCTGTACATTTTGTTCTCAACGGCTGGCCAGCACGATGTTCTTAAAGCCCTGCACAGGAAGACAAAACTGTATGACTAAAAAAAGTCCA